GGGTTTGAACTGCCAGCCTTCTGGTTAGCAGTCAAGTGCCTTAGGCATTACACTACCAAAGCTCCTTAGTTACTCTAGTAATATTTCATATTACTTTGGTTCCACAATCAGCATCAATGGAAGCAGCAGTCAAGAAATCAAATGACGTATTGCACTGGGCAAATCTGCTGCAAAAGACCTCTTTAAAGTGCTGAAGAGCCAAGATGTCTCTTTGAAGACTAAGGTGTGCCTAATTGCCTCATATGCATGTGAAAGCTGGACAATGAATAAGGAAGACCAAAGAGTTGATGCTTTTGAGTTGTTGATGAGGTGTTGGTGAAGAATACTGAAAGTACCATGGACTGCCAGAATAAGGAACAAACCTGTCCTGGAAGAAGTGCAGCCGGAATGCTCCTTGGAAGTGAGAATGGCCAGACTTCCTCTGACCTACTTTGGTCATGTTGTCAGAAGGGACCATTCCTTGAAGGATATCATGCTTGGTAAAGTAGGTCAGCCAAAAAGGGGAAGGCCCTCAATGAGACTGACTGACACAGTGGCTGCCACAATGGGCTCAGATATAGCAAGGACTGTGAGGCTGGCGCAAGGCTGGGCAGTTTCGTCCTGTTTTACACAGGGTCGCTATGAATCGGAACTGACTCAATGGCACCTAACACCACCACCACAACAGTTACTCTAGTGTGGTTAAAGCATAGCCCTCTGCTTCCGTGCCCACAGAACACCAGAGGTCTACAGATGCAAAAGTGAGATGGTCAACCTCTAAAATCATACCTGAGAAAACTGGAGAGACTATCTGTGATTTTAACTTTTTTTCCCTGCAATGTTTTCCCTTAAATGTTATCTGCTGAGAAGCATTAATTAAGTATATAAAGGGACCACTCAAACACTGCCAACAGTGCTTACTTTTGCATTTTTTTCTTCAGGGAGAGAGGTACGCTTATGATAACTGTGGGTTTATACTGCATGTGTGGTTAGTTAAATCTGTACCTAGTTTTGTGTTAAAACTGTATATATAGATATTCCATAAGATACTGCCCTCTTACCATCACCACTCCACCCTCCCCTTACCCCCCCCCCCCCCCCCAAAAAAAAGAGTCTGAGTGTCTGAGAGAGTCAGAGCATTTGGAATGTGCACTGAGGTCTTAAAGGAGAGCTGAATGGTTAGATGACTGGTGACAAAGAAAAAGAAGTGCCTACTATGTGCCATTCGCTGCTCTACATGCTCAAGGGTGAGAATCAAGACAAAAATCTTAGCCTCTTGAGCCCTGAATTGCTTTGAATTTGAGTTCTGGGTCTATTACATACTTTTATGACCCTGGACATGTAACCCAACTCCTGAGCCTTATTTCTCACCCACTGTAGGCCTTCACAAGGAGTTCTGGTAGCACAATGACTAAGGCATTTGACTGCTAAGCAGAAGGTTGGTGGTTCAAACCCACCAGTCACTCCACAGAATCAAGCCTGGGCAAACTACTTCCGTAAAGATTTACCACCTTGGAAACCCAACAGGGGTCACTATGAGTCGGAATTGACTCTATGGCAGTGGGTTTGGGTTTGGTTTTGGTAGGCCTTCACTGTAGGCCTCAGCATAGAGCCACAAGGCTGCTTCTTCTCCCCCAGGTCTCAGCTTCAATTTACCATAGTCCTGGATAACCCATCTAAGGAGACTACTCTCCACCTCCACTGTACCCCACCCCACCCCATTCCGACTCTCCTCAAAGTCCTGGTGAGAAAGGATGGCGGACGGTTTGAATTTACATCAAGGTATACACTGGAGTCATGTAATTGCTAGGGAAGGTGCAGGAAAGGGGAGTGGAGTACAGTTGGCCTCTCTGCCAAGGGAAGGATGCTGGAAGGAACAGGTCAGCAGAAAATCACCGCTTTGGCCAATTCTACATGTGGGAGAGTATGAATGTAGTACAAACAGAACTGGAACACAACCTGAATCATATGTGATAACCTCAGAAATGGGGCTCAGCCACACTGACAGAGAAGAAGGGAACCGAGAAGAGTATGTTCCCGATGAAAGAAGTAATCAGACTCCTGATGTGTCCTCAGTTAGTATAATTAGAAAGTAGCCTGAACCCACACATGTGATAATCCAACCAACGAATGGACTCACCCTCACTGTCTGATACAGAATAAGGGAACCAAGGAGGGAGCATTCCCTGTGAGAAGAGTCATTAGCAGGCTGTCCGCTCTCCTGCACTGCACTAGCACTAGGGAGACCATGAGAGGTGAATGACGTCATGAAGCATCACTACCGACAGGCTACATACAGGGCCCAGAAATCCAGGGGCCAAGGCACGATGCACTCTCAGCAGCTATTTAGAAGGAATGAGAAGACTAGAAAGAGCGCTACAATTTCAAAAAATGAGGCTGGCTTAGACTGTAGGTTACCACATTCCCCTCAGTTCTAAACTTCCTCAGATTGTACTGCATCAAGAACAACCCACCTTCCAAAATTCTCAGGCTCACTAGCCACTCGGGATGCCAGATCCCCACCCACACTGCACTCACTGCCATATTGATGCCCCCTGGTGCTATATCAGGGAACAGGATAATAGATATGAGTCCTATGCAATCAGTCTCTCCCTAACCTCAGTAACCTGGGCCCTGAGTAAACCCAGGCAAAAAAAAACCCTGAGAGACCACACTGCATAGTTTTACAGCCATCTTTTTCATGAGCATTTCCCCAAGTTGTTAAATATACTTCAACACAATTTTTAATGCCACTTAACATTCCATTTTACAGATCTACCATTTACTAATTTTCCTATGCCGTATTTGGATTGTTTCCAGTTTTTCACTATTACAAAAAAATGTTTTGATGAGCATTATTAGATGTAAATCTGTGTCACTCTCTGATTCTTTCTTATAGAAAGTTTCTAGTTAAGGAATTACCAGATCAAATGGTATGAAGCCTTTCTTGTGCACACTGTTCCAAAGCACAGACTGCTCTGGAGCAAAGTCAAACCACTTCACTTCACACCAGGAGTGAAGAATGACCATCTCATGGCCCCTCAGTCACACTGTATCTTGCTCTTTTTAACAATCATTTTTCAGAATCTCAATTGACAGACATTAATTCTCCTTACCAGATTCTATCACCGCTTCTGTGCTGTTTGAAGGAACTTTTTTCCAGTCCATCAGGCAGGGCCCAGGCCGGGATGTGTTACACCACTGAATCACGTAGTCACAAGTCATGTTGGGATCATAATTCCAAGTGAGGACAATCCCATCTCCCATCCCAACAGCCTGCTCTATTTTGAGGTCATCTTCAACAAGAAAGAAAGATAGTGTGCTGGTGTTAAAAACACAAGGATAAGGGAAACCTCATGAAAATGGGCTCAAACTAACTCACTGCCATCAAATCGGATCCAACTCATAGCGACCCCTCCTTGGGTTTCCAATAACACTATGGAAGTAGATTGCCCAATCTTCCTTCCAACGAGTGGCTGGTGGTTTTGAACCGCCAGCCTTCTGGTTTGTAGTCAAATGCCTCAGGCACTATGCCACCAAATTACACCACTACAGAAAGTTTTAAATAGCACTCAAACTAGATAAACCTTTGTTGTTATGTGCCGTTGAGTTGGACCCGACTCACAGCGACCCCTCCTTGGGTTTCCGAGGCAGTATCACTACGGAAGTAGATTGCCTCATCTTCCTTCCGAGGCAAAGGTTAAAATAGCCATTGCTATTTTTGTTCTAACAATTATAGTAACTACCTGTAGACACATAATTTTTTTCAAAGGTCACTTTCCCAGCAAAAAATCAAAAGGCACTTAGGACCTGGTAGTGATGTACTATGGCCAGGCCAGAGAGATCAAAAGGGTGGGGCGGAAGGAATCAGGACCAGGATGAGAGGAGGAAGGGAGGCGGGAGGCTGGTGAAGCCCACCAGTGGGCAGCTGGACTCCTGCCTCTTCCCAGCCACTGTGAGCTCCCTGAGCACAGGCACCGGCTTTGTCTATAGTCCTAGCACCTGGCAGAGTAGGCACACGAGAAATGAGTTCTGGGTCAATGGGTTCACCCTCCTCATCTGCTCTTTCCTTCAAGCTTACAACACTACAGGTGGGCTGGAGGGGTGTGGTAGTTAAGGTGGTGTGTCAACTTGGCTAGGCCTGGTTGAGTGTCTGGGCAGCTGGTGGTAGTTATTCTCCATGATGAGACTGGCAATCAGCTCCATGGTAGGATCTACCACAAGCAGCTGAGTAGCTGCTTTAGGGAATGTGGTCTACTTCCTGTATATAAGCAGCAGCTTTGGGAATGGTCTCCAGCTTTCTGGCACACTCGAACTCTGTATGTAGCTGAGTCATTGTTCAGCAGCCTGCCATGCTCTGCTGATCCTGGGACTTTCAATGGACTTGAATCAATGACCTGCTGTGTTGTTTGGTAACATTGGGACTGTGCCTTTTCACTTGTTGAGCTTGGGTTTGTCAGCCTAGCAGCCAGCAGCTGTCTGAGTGAAGACAAGTCTCCAGCATCAGTGGGCTGGGAACACGAAGCAGAGCTCAAGCCCAAGGTTGAGGCGCTTTCACCCAGCCTCTAGAGCCTGGCACTTTGACTCGGATTTAAAGACTCCAAACTGTAAGAAAGTAAACTCCTGTTTGTTAAAGGAGTATCCCATTTGTGGTCTCTTCCTGTCACAGTGGCACTAGGTAACCAAAACAAGGGGATTCTGGGAGACCAGGAGATCAGGTGGGGAGGACTAGGTGAACTGCTGAAATGTGGTGAAGCCGAGGAATGGGATGGACCATGTGGGCATAGAGAGGGGAGAAAGCCTACAAAGCAATGTGTGGATTACTGACACACACTCTGTAGAGGCTGCAGGGAAGGAGAGGGAAGCAGGGTGGGGCTGGGGGGGCTGTGGTGATTGGTCAGGGTTGTGACCAAGAGTAAGAGGGAAACTTCCCACAGTAGCTGAAGAAAAGAAGCCATTTCTATTCCTGATTTACATGTAAGGATTCAGGAAACTGGGGACTACTCAGGAAAGTTTTTTGAACACAATTTGCATTAATGAACCTACAGAGGAACTTAATCCTGAGAACAAAACACCCTATGAGACGAGGCCACAAGAGCAGCCACGCCCAAAAACCAACCTCAGAAGGCAGGAAGGGCAGGAAAGGAGAGCCATGGAAAAGGAGAACTGGGGAGGAAGTGGGAAGAGTGCTGTTACACTGAGGGGACTGTAATTAATGTTATGAAACAAAATGTGCATAAATCCTTGACTGGAAAACCAATTTGCTTTGTAAACTTTCACCCAAACCACAATAAATTGAAAGAAAGCAACTACTACTGAGCACGAGACAACCATCTGGCCTAGAATACAAAAGACTTTGGCCATAACAGCTTTTTGGTTCAAGTTAATTAAAAACCTACTGTGTAAATCTGCACTGAGGCTGTCAAACCTCCAAGCTGGAGAAACCCTCCAGGTCCTGATTCGTTCTGGGGCTGTGGGAATGCTCCACAAGCTGAAGGCTGGTCCACGGTCAACTCTAAATTACTGTCCTCTGAGACACACATGGTTCCTGACTAGCTGCTTCCTTTTCCACGTGTCTCTTAAAACAACAGAGCTCTGGTGGCACAGCAGGTAAGGCATTTGGCTACTAACCAGAAGGTGGGCCGTTTGAAACCCACCAGATGCTCTGCAGGTGGAAGATGAGGCAATCTACTTCCGTAAAGACTTACAGCCTTGGAAACCCAATGGGGGTCTCTATGAGTCAGAACTGACTCAATGGCCGTGGCTTCTTTTTTTTTTTTAAATAGTTCCTGTACTGAAAGACAACAAGGCTACTGCCTATTATTATGAAAGCTGCAAAATGTATTATCTATACCATTACTCTGGGAGCTCTGGTGGCATAGTGCCTAAGGCATCTGACTGCTAACCAAAAGGCTGGTGGTTCAAACCTACCAGCCACTCCTCAGAAGGAAGGATGGGCAATCTACTTCCATAGAGATACTGTCTCAGAAACTCAAGGAGGGGTGGCTATGAGTCAAAATTGACTCAATGACAGTATATTTTTTTTTTTTTTGTATACTACCATGTTGTCTTCTCCTCTAATGGATATTCATACATTAGTTTTTTTTTTTTTGGGGGGGGGGGAATGCCAAAATTAAGGGAAATTAGTCTGCTTTGTTCTAACCCCTACCTCCCTGTATCTGCTACACCACCACCATTCAGACCTCTCCCACCCAGTGTGTGCCGCTCTCTGGGCTCTTGGTCATTGGGCTGTATCTCTGTCTCTGAAATGTACTGGGCTTTCCTCCTAATCCCCCCATGGCCAACAGAGCAAAACAGCAAGTAAAGTAATAAGCCATAAGAAACTGCCTCCCTCAAGAACTGAAAAGATAGATACCTAGAGGACCCTAACTGGACCAATTTTTCCTCCTCTGAGTGAGTGGTGATTAAAAAAAAAGGGGTGGAAGGCATCCATATTGGGGCAGGACAGCAAAGCAGGGACCAGAGAATGACTGGGAGGGCGAGTTAATGGAGAGAAGGAAGAAGTGGCCACTGAAGACTCATGACTCAAAAGGCCATCAAGATGGAGGCCAAGGAGGATGTTCTCATGGTAAGCCATAAAGTTTAAACCAACAGCCCACTGTCACCAAGACGATTCTGGCACACAGCAACCCTATAAGACAGAGTAGAACCGCCCCATAGGGTTTGCAAGGCCGTCAACCTGTATGGAAGCAGCCTGCCTCATCTTTCTCCTGAAGAGCTGCTGGTCGGTTTGAACTGACGAACTTTTGGTTAGCAGCCAAATAATCTAACCACTGAGCCACCAGAGCGCCTTTAAAATTTAAAGGCAGGCACTAAATCAACCTAGAAATTATACCAAAGTTTATTACTGTTAGCTTAGTTTGAAGATTTAATTTACACCATAGGAAGAATTTCTTAGTAATAAAGGATTGAATTAATAAAGACTTTATCAATAAAGCTGCCATTTGAGAAGTTTTTTTTTCCTGATAGTTTGCAAAACAGCCTAGCTGATAGAGTATAAACTCTCATAATCTTAAAGCAATAACTGAAAATAGTATTTGAATAAGCTGTTAAAACAATTCTTCTTAAGTACTCTCTGCCACCATAACCCCCAACATCAGGTGGTAATGTGAAGAGTACAGCCATTTTTTCCATCCTTGTAGGTGCTTTGAGTCAATAGTAATGAATGCTGTCTCTCAATGAACGTTAGACATTATCTTCCTCATTGTTCCTTATGTATTATCAGCAACAGGGCATATCAGAAGAATGCTGATATTACATAAGAGCAACACCACCTTCAAAATTTTTCACTTCAGTATCTTGGTTCATATACATTATTATCTTAAGGACTCACCATGTGGAATTTCCATACTAGCTATCTTTGAAGGTGGAGATGAGCCCACAGAATTTTTTGCAACCACACTAATGATGTAATCGTTTTTATCAAGTTGTATTTCTGCTTTGTGTTGACGATCAGGAATCTCAGAAAGGGACTGCGTTTCGTCATCCGAAGAACACGATACATTATAGGAAAGGATTCTTCCATTAGCTTCATTAATGGGTAAAGGCTAAGAAAAACGTAATAAAGAAATCGTTACAAAAAACCTGCGTAACGTAACTATGTGAATAGGCTGGACCATCAAGTCTAACCTGGATATTACGTTAATAATAACAAGGTAATGTCAGAAAAGAGGAAGTTGTTAACAGTGAAACACAGATTTGAAATCCACTGTGACCTGGATGAAGACGCTGAGTGGTGCAAATGGTTAACATGCTTGGATACTAACAGAAAGGCTGAAGGTTCATAAGGCACCTTAGAACAAAGGCCTGGCAATCTCCTTTTAGGAAACCAGCCATTGAAAACCCTGTGGGGCACAGTTCTACTCTAACATGCATGGGGTCTCCCTGAGCTGGAAGTGATGCCATGGCAACTGGACCATGCATCCAGTAGGTGACATGGTAAACCAGGGAGTGAGGAGGAAGAGAAACTACTGACTGTAAGCAGCAGGGATACACAGAAATTTGAAAATTAAATACAAAAAATAATTACTGTCTTACTTTATAGAAGCAGAAAAAGAAATGTTTTACTTAAAAACAAAACAGAACACTTACAAGTTTTTTTTTTTAAACATTTTTTTGTTTTCTCATGAAGTCATTTCTGACCCTACAGGACAAAGCAGAACTGTCCCACAGGGTTTCCAAGGCTATAAATCTTTATGGAAGCAGACAGCCTCATCTTTCTCTTGCAGAGTGGCTGGTGTGTGTGAACCATCAACCTTTTGATTAGCCCCCAAATGCTTTAACCACTGTGTCACCATAGCTCCTTGTAGTTGCTCTTGTTGTTGTTGTTATGTGCCATCGAGTCAGACCTGACTTACAGCGACCCCTCCTTGGGTTTCCGAGGCAGTATCACTACGGAAGTAGATTGCCCCATCTTCCTTCCGAGGAGTGGCTGGTGGGTTTGAACCGCCAGCCTTCTGGTAAGCAGTCAAGTGCCTTACCCACTATGCTACCAGAGCTCCTCTTATCTTGGTATTTCCTTCCAGTTGCTTTTCTAGGTGCAAACTTTTTTGGAAGATTGTTTTAATCGTATTACATTAATTTTATACCCTTTGTTCGTGTTTCCATAATACACATCTGTCCACATTAATATATTTATACATGTTAATGGCTTTATATTTCACAGAGCATTTTTTATCAGTTTACTTGATTTCCTCATATAAATTAAAGTTGTCCCAATTTTTAACAATACTACGTAGTAAAATTCTGATGAACCTTTTGGTTTCTTCTTCATAGAATGAATTTAGTAAGAATTCCCAAAAGTAGACGGAAGTGAACATTCAAGACTCTCTGTTTCATATAACTAAAATGCTTTTCAAAAAGACTGCCCTGATTTATACACCACCATGGGACCTCTGATCTAGACTGACACTGACATTAATACTGTTCTGAAAACACGGCTCCAGTAAAGATGTCTGATGACTCCCTCATACCCCAGTCTTGTGGATATATTTTAGTCTTAAGACTTGTGGGGTTCATTTGATTGTTGACCACAAACCCCCTACCATCCTCTTCCCGTGGTCTCAGCAATAACTATTTCCTTCTGGCCTTCCTGCCCCTGTGACCCTCTCAATGTCCTCCGCTGTATCTTCTTCCTTTGCCAAGCCTTACGTGTTGCTATCACTCAAGGTTCCACATCCCTAGTCCTCTTTCACCTTGTATCCCCCTCCTGAGAGAGCCCATTTATATGCTACTCAAAGGGACGTCTTCACCTGTGACCTCTCTCCTGTGCTATCAAATCACCACCTGGATATCCCAGTGACACAGGTATAAAAAACTCAGCACACTCAGTCTTACACCCAACTGTGGTCTTCCTTCACAAACGGCATCAACATCAACCTAGTCATTGAATTCAGAATGTGGATCACTTCAGTATTTTTAATTCTTGGTTAAGTATTCATCTAGGTTGAATAGTAATATCCTAATGAAATCTATCAATATTCCAAACTTCCTCTACACTGGAGTAATTTGTAAAGCAGTTGCCATATTATCGTGATACTGGAACAGGCAACTGAGAGCAGACGGGGGTTTTCTAATCAAGAAGGAAAGAGGAATGTGACAGTCAGCCCCAAGCAGTGGACTTTATTTACACTGAACTTGCACACATACTTCGCTTTACTCAAAGTTGTATTAATGCCAATTTTTTGTCAAAATAAAGGTGCTTTACTTGCAGTAACAAGATTCACTATTCAAAGGAATCCAATTATGACTGCTTTTATACAATCTGATATAACTCAGCCACAAAGAGATAGGAGGTCCTGACGCACGCCAGGACATGGATAAACCTCGATAACGTCATGCAGAGTGAAACACGACAGCTGCAAAAGGACACTGAGGGGTACTGAGTTTACGTGAAGGGTGGTGGGGTGATTCGGAAAAGGAACGCAAGAACGGGTGCACACCGTGAAGACTGTCACCAACGCTGTGAATCCTACACGTGAAAACGCTTGAGATGGCACGTTTTGTTACGTATATTTTTGACACAATAAAAAGTATGATGAAGAAAAGAACTGTTTATATGCTTTTGATGTTCATAAATCAGTCAAAAACACAGCAGCAAAGAAGTCTGCTCTAGGACAGAAAAGCTGGTAAAGCATAATAAAATTCATACTTTATCTGAAAAACTTTACAAAATCATGCAACTTTGTAACTGAAATAATGTAATATAATTTATTTAAGGAAGACAAATTACACATGATTTAAATAAGAAGTTTTCCATTCACAGAAGAAAAAAGCAACAAATACTTGGGATTCTAACTAGCAGATTTAGTCTGTGTTTCTCACTAAGTGAAGAAGACGGCATTTGTAACACTGACAGACACTTCGTAGCCTGAGAGCAACAATCCCAAATGAAAATGACCAGTGACTCAGCAGTGACCAGGGATGAGGGGGTTTTAGAAACCAGATTAGAGTTTCACCAATACTTTAAGGCAGTGTAGGAAATCCTAGATCCTTAATAACTGAAAAAGCAGCTTAGTATAACAGTTATTGAAGTATTCAAGGAAAATTAGATATTTACCTTCCAATAGATTATTAAATTTTTCCCATCAGAACTCCACTCTCTCCAAGTATCTGGTCCCTTTGAAGGAACTAGGAAGGAGATTCAAAAGTTAGTATTTGAAGACAATTAATACAGATCCATTGATGCGATCAATAACTGAGATGGTGCCTGAGTTATTTTTCTAGGGTATCTAGAATTCTCAATAAAAATGTGAAGCAGTTCAGTGGCTTCCACTTACAAAATAAGGGAAATGGAAAAGTTGAGCTTGCAGCCTCTGGAAAACACAAGACCCTCAGAATGGGTAAAACTCACCCTCAAGGCCCTACCCCACTGATCCTTGGGGACCTCTCTGTCCCATGTCATCTGACCTCCTCCTTACTCAAATCTGCTTTCAGCCTATACTGGCTGACTGCTGTTCCTCAGACATGCCAAGGATAGCTGCCTCAGACTCTGCATTTTCTATGTCTCTGCCAAGAACTCTCTTCCCCTAGATAAACCATGTGGCTGGTTTCCTTAACTTTACAGAGACAGTCTCCAGTTACAAAGAAGGCCCGTTCCTAAGTGTGTCTTTAAGTTGAACTTATAGGTAAGTTGGAATAGGTGCACACAGTTCTTATTTAGCCTTATTTTAATGCAAGAAAGGAGCTCCGGTGACACAGTGGTTAAAGTATTCGGCTACTAAAAAAAAGGACGGAGGTTCAAACCCATCAGCTGCTTCACAGGAGAAAGATGAGACAGTCTGCTTCCATAAAGATTTACAGCCTTGGAAACCCTATGGCACAGTTCTACTCTGTCTCATATGGTCACCATGAGTCGGAATTGACTCAGTGGCACTGGGTTTGGTTTGGTTTGGTTTGGGGTTGTTGTTGTTGTTGTTACGTGCTGTCGAGTCGGACCAACTCATAGCGACCCCTCCTTGGGTTTCCGAGGCAGTATCACTACGGAAATAGACTGCCCCATCTTCCTTCCGAGGAGTGGCTAGTGGGTTTGAACCGCCAGCCTTCTGGTTAGCAGTCAAGTGCCTTAAGCAGAAAAGGCTGGAAGCCTTTTCAATGATTTCAAAGCTGCACGTGCAGTAAGTGAACGTGATGAAGAATGTGCTGGTTCAATCATTTCAAAGTAAGGGCGAATTCACATAACATTAAAGAGCAAGAAGGAGCTGTCCCTAAGTTGGGCCTTCTTAACTTACTGTATCTCAGCTCAAATGCTACCTTATCAGTGAGGTCTTTTGTAACTGTCCCATTTAAAACTGCAATTCCTTCATCTCTCTCACCACCTGGCCATCATTCCCCCTAGACTCCTTCCTGGGATTTTTCTCTATGGATTTCATCATTACCTGGCAATACTTCTGTGTGTGTTTCAAATTTATTTCTAATCCTCTCTGCTATAAACTCCACAGGCAGAGCTATTTTATTAATGGCTATATCCCTGGTGACTAGAACAATTCCTGACAAATAATGTGTGCTCAATAAATATTTGTTAGCTGAGTCAATGCCTTCATCTTAATGAAGTATAAACAAGACGTTTCCTCTTGGCAAATGCTGCTCATTAGCTGAAGGCAAACGCTGCTGTGGTAGCCATGCTCCAAAATGGCCAGAGTCTCACGTCTCCTGCCACCACTCATGGCCTGAGTAGTCCCCTCCCACCTGCATCAGCAGTGTCAAATTATATAACAAGCAAGGTAAGCACGGGCTTACTTGTGGTTACTTACTAATCTGTAGTGAACAATTTCACATTTTTTCACCACAGCAAAGATTCTGCTTCCAGGTGTGGCTGGCATCTGTTTCCCTTTCAGCCCCATAGCACCTTCCTATAGAATCAAAGTCTCTTTTCACATTTATAATCCCTGATAGGGATGGAGTACTCACTAAACAAGGGAAGCAGGCTTCCTTGTCCTTACTTATTAATTTGGGTAAGTACGCCCGTGCTTACCTGCAGTGAACCACAGGATAGGAAGTGTCTTGGTTCTCTATTGCTGCTGTAACAGACACACCACAAATGGGTGGCTTTAACAAACAGGGATTGATTCTCTTTCAGTTTAGGAGGCTAGAAGTCCGAGTTCAAAGTGCTGGCTCCAGGGGCTGGGTGAAGGTTCCTCCACCTTGGGCTTCAGCTCTGCCTCCTGTTCCAGGACCCCTAGAGCTGCAGGCTTTTTCTGACTCACGCAGCTGCTGGCTGCTAAATCTGACAAACCCAAGATCAATGGGTAAAATGGCACGATCTCAAGATAAGCAAGCAACACAGCAGGCCGCTGGTTCAAGGCCAGGTACAGTCCCAAGACTGGCAGACAACACGGCAGGCCGCTGAGATGAAGACTCAGCCAAGCGCAGGATCCATATGCGCCAAAAGCTCTCAATCTGCCCCAAAGTTTCTCCTCATACACTGGCCACACCCCAAAGGCAGCTCCCTAGCTGCTCAAGCAAATTCGACCATGAAGGCGATTACAGTCTCATCCTGGGGAATAACAACATCCAGCTGCTCAGCCACACAAAACCATGGCCCAGCCAAGATGACACACAACCCTAACTACCACAGTACGTAAGGCCAAGTAAGCCTGTGCTTACCTTACTTACTCTGCCCCTGCTATCAGGGCTGACCTGTGTGACCAAAAGGATGTGGCAGACGTGACAGTGTGTTACTTCTGACCCTTGTTGTTGTTGTTGTTTGCCATCGAGTCGGCCCCGACTCATAGCGACCCCTCCTTGGGTTTCCGAGGCAGTATCACTACGGAAGTAGGAATGCCCAACCTTCCTTCCGAGGAGTGGCTGGTGGGTTTGAACCACCAGCCTTCTGGTTAGCAGTCAAGTGCCTTAACCACTGTGCTACCAGAGCTCCTACTTCTGACCCTAGGTTATACAAAATGCTGTGGCGTGTGCCTGAGCTGTCTTCGCTCAGTCACTGGCAAGCAAGCTGCCACGTCATGAGGACACTCCAACAGTCCCATGGAGAGGCCTGCATGGTGAGGGGCTGAGGCCTTCTGCCAACAGCCACGGGATCCTCTGGCTTCACTGAAGCTTTGTAGTTCCACCCACATGCCAACTGAAGTCACGAGAAACCTGGAACCAGAGCCGCCCAGCTAAGCTGCTCCTTGATTTTAGACCCAGAGAAACTGTGAGATGATGAATGTTTGCTATTTTAATACAATGTCTTTTGGAGTTATTTGTTACATATCCATAATGAGTAATACAGTCCTCTCTAGATCCAAGTTTAGGATTCATTTTTGAGGATACCTAGAATTCTTACACATACTGTACAGGTTCCCCAACATCCTGAGACAGTATCACTACTGAAGCAGATTACCCCAACCTTCCTTCCGAGGAGTGGCTGGTGGGTTTGAACTGGAATCCTTCTGGTTAGCAATCAAATGCCTTAGGCACTATGCCACCAGAGCTCCCTGTTTTCATGGGAGAGGTAAAATCTGAATTAACATCTATCATTTTTGCTTTACAGTTTGTCGATTTTTTTGGAAGAAATCCTCTTATCCCCTATATTACACAGTGCAGATAATGCTTTTGGTGTCTTTTGTTGGGTGATGCCCAAAAATTATACCCGTATCTAAGTTTTGTTTTAAAGCTAACATTTGGTTATTCAAGGATAAAATCCCATCCTTTCAAAATTAACATACCTGGAAAAGCAGTTACCTGATTTTATACGCATGTTGGCCTAACTGTACTATGGAAAGTAACATTCAAGATCTTTTAGCCCCATCCATGTTTCAGGCTTAGGTCCCCAAAAAAGATTCTTTAAGTTTTCTTTATTAATAATTGTTTTCAATTAAAAGGAAGTCTAACACTATTTCCCTTTGTGCCTCTGACTCTGGGCTCTGCCGGTGTCTTCCTCTGCCTTGATCATTTTGCGCTGACCTCCCCCTTACTGCATAGCGCTTCTCCCTTCACCCAATACTTGCCTAGCCTCTAGTTAGTGATTTACCCTATTTACTTATAGATAGCACTTACAAAGGTAAATAGTACTAACATTCCCAATTCTGCAATAGCAGTACCAACAATAATCTATGAGTGGATACAAAAGCAGACGCATACACACAGGCTGAAGAGGAGTTGGAAAGCAAACGGGACTACACATACCCACGTCTGACAGAGGAAATGTCTACGTATGAGTTTACATATGCTGCAAACATATCTATGAATATAGTATACAGAGGACAAAGTTATAGAAACTTCTCAGCTATAAACAAATACCTTGATGGAATGAGTTGCTGGGCCTGGGAGCTCAGGACCATAATCTTTAAGAGACACCAAGGTCTATGGCATAACATAGCCCAGAAGGATGATGGACACTGTCCTTGGGGATTATGCTCTATATCCTACTTTGGTGAGTAGCAACTGGGGTCTTAAAAGCTTGCGAGTCACCATCTAAAGTGCAACCATTGGTCTCTCCCTGTCCAGAGCAAAGAAGAATGAAGAAAATCAAGGATAGAAGGAAACAATTTGCAATGGACCATGTGCAATCTAGCCTCCATGACTCTGAGACCAGAACAACTAGATGGTGCCTGGCTACCACTGCTGACTGCTCTGAAAGGGATCACAATAGGAGGTCCTGGATACAATGGGAGAAAACTGTGGAACAAAAATCAACAAAAAAGACCAGGCCTAGTGGTCTGAGAGAGACTAGTAGAACCCCTGACACTAAGGCCCTTACACATCCTTCAGGCCCAACTTGCAGCCAAACGTTAGGTCTGTAAGGTGAACATAACACCAGGAAGATACACACTTCTTAGAACAATCAACTTGTATCAAAAGGGCAGCATCTGCCCAGGGAAGTATTTTCTCAAAAGGCAGGAAGGTATAGGAAAGAAGGACAAAAGCAAACAGTAAACACAGGCAGGCAGTGGGAAGAACGCAGTTACTCTGTGAAGCCTGAAATCAGTGTCACCAAAGAAAATGTGTATGAGTTGCAAAACAAAAAAAAGGCAATCTAAACACAATATAAAGATTATAGTGAAAGGAGGAAAGAATGGGAGAAAAATCATACCACCTCTGACTGCAGTCTCAAGTTTGATTTCCTGTGCATCATTTTAATACAGTTGCAACCATACTGTGGACATGCTAGCCTCATCCTTTCACACAGCATGTTAAGTCTTTTTCCGTATTATCCTAAAACTTTTAAAACCAGCACTTAAAATGTTCGTGTAATATTTTATTAACAGGTATTACACAATTTATCTAACCATTCCCCTTCTCTTAGGCCCTTTGGTAACACTTTTCAAAAAAAGCTGTGAACCTTCTGGATGCACAGTTGTTGTTGTTATGTGCCGTCAAGTCGGCCCCGACTCATAGCCACACCTCCTTGGGCTTCCGAGGCAGTATCACTACGGAAGTAGGATTGCCCAACCTTCCTTCCGAGGAGTGGCTGGTGGGTTTGAACCGCCAGCCTTCTGGTTAGCAGTCAAGTGCTTTAGCCACTATGCTACCAGAGCTCCTGGATGCACAGTAGTAATTAGCCATAAAATCTCTTAGCTGACTTACTGGCTTCTGTTGTCAGATGCTGTTTTTCAATGGTCCAGTCACTCCATTTCCAGAATGTTTCAGTAGAACAGCGAATCCGAAAAGTATAATTAGTATATGGATTTAACTTGTCCACGGCAATGAGATACTTTGAATTTTCTACTCCTTTGATTGTGACGTTCCGCTATTAGGAAAAAAATCAATCAATATGTACGCGTGGGTGTGTGTGTATTATATATGCATATGAATACATTTACATACAAACACACTTTTAAATGAAAGCTGCTTAAATATGTAACATGAATCCACTGGAAGTCCATGTATTTGAATGTATAACAGCAAAAACAATTCATCCACTGTAATATTTTAATTTTCTTATACATGCCAAGTCAGTAAAATTATGCTGTATAATAGCCATAAACAAAATTAGGAAGTCTTTTTAATCCAAAAAAATGAATCTAAGTAATAATGGTCAATTAAATTATGCAAAGATGATCATAAATTTTGTTCTAGAACTTCTGAATCATCGGTCAATGGTTGATGGTGATGCAATAAACCTTAACATAATTTGGTAATTTGAGATAACTTTGAGGTTAGATTATTCACATGAAAGTTGAAAAAAGCTTCTTAGTGGCAGGCATCATCTTTTATGCATCTTTTTATACGTCACTTAGAATCTCTAGCATGGTGCTAAACATGAAGTAAATAGTCAACAAGTACTTCCTTCAAATATTGAAAATAAAAATGAAGGAATTCTAAGTCACTTTAAGGATTTATATGTTTCAGGAAAAGCTCTGAGCTCCTACTTACTACACAAAGAAGCTTTCTGGGTTACATTTTAAAGTTTTGACTAAATTCCTACAAATCATCAATACCTTTCTAAATGAATATTAAAGTGCAGTATCATTTATTTTGGATCTACTACAAATTATAAGGAGCCCTGGTGGCACAATGGTTAAAGCACTTAACTGCTAATCCCAGATCAATGGTTCAAACCCACTAGCTACTCTGTGGACCTGCTTCTATAAAGATTACAGCCTTTGAAACTCTATGGGGGCAGTTCTAACTCTGTGCTATGGGCCAAAATCAATGACAGCACTGGGTTTGGTTATTTGGTTTTTGAACCACAAATTCTACGATGGTGCAGTATAAAGTCAGCCTAAACGATGAAAATGCATCAAAAAGTCATATTTTAACTTACAATTACCAATTATCATAACTTGCTTCCTTTGCTGCTCTCTGCAATTTTAAAGATCACTTCGACTTGCTGATGTCAGTTAATTCATTAATTGCTGTTAAAGGTTCTAGCAAAAACTACTTATTCATTCACAAATACACACAACGCTAGCTATGCCAGGCACTATACTAGACCTGGGAACACTGTGTTTATTAAAAGTCAAACTTATGTTCTATAATATCCAGTCTTATAAGTGTTTTCAAATGCTGAAATAATGCTGTTATTACATTGGTACATAATTTCTGTTCTATATAATACCTAATATATAATGTCTGCTCTTCATAAATCACTACAGTAAATAATCTGAGATTTTACACACATCAACTTAATTGATTCTTTTTTTAAACACAGTATTTTCTCCAAAATAACCTCAACACAAGTTTGCAAAAGAATCATACTCACCAATTCTTGTACTGAATTACTTGTATTAATTTCAATTTGACATAAAAGATTAGTATTTGTAAGGTTGCCTGGTAAGCGCCAAGAAAGTGCAATAGCTGATGAATTAATATCCTTCACTTTGAATGAAGTAGGTGTATGGAGATGAACTGTAAATATAATTTAAAAAATTAATTACTTAAAAAGTTTATTTATTTATTAGAAAACAGTGACTAGCTGTTTTCTAATATGACAAAACAAAACAAAACACAAATCAAGAAAGGTATCATCAGTTCTTTTCAACAACACCCTGTCATCTTGTCCTGTATCTGTGGACTAGAAGCCCTGATAAACAAATGTAAGCTTTTGGCTGTGAACTCAAAGGTTGGTGGTTCAAATCCATCCAGTGGCTCTGTGGAGAAAGACCTGGCAATCTACTTCTGTGAAGATTACAGCCAAGAAAACCCTATGGGGCAGCTCTACTCTTCCATACAGGGTTGTCAGGAGTCAAAATCAACTCAATAGAACCTAGCAACGACAACATGTGGAGTCCACAAATTCGACTTTTACTGCTAACATCATGCAACATTTTTTCAAGAACCAGTAACAGTCAAGGTTCTTCACTGGCACTGGGAATATTAAAAGGCAGTAAGATCATAGTCTCTACCTTTAAGAAACTTCTAATTCACTTGGAGAATGACAAGCAAAAAGAAAGAATATAAACAAACATGTTGTTGTTGTTGTTGTTGTTGTGTACCGTCGAGTCGGATCTGACTCATGGCGACCCCTCCTTGGGTTGCGGAAGCGGTATAACTACGGAAGTAGACTGCCCAACCTTCCTCTGAGGAGTGGCTGGTGAGTTTGAACTGCCAGCCTTCAGAATAGCAGTCAAGTGCCTTAGGCACTACGCTACCAGAGCTCCATAAACAAGCATAGGTATACTAAATGAGTGGTACAGAAATTAACTGCTACAGGAATTTGAATATGAGTGTGGGAGGGAAGGTTTTAAGGGTGAAGATGGAACTTAACATGAGCTTTGAAGGAAGGATCAGGCTAAACTGGCAAAATGGATGCAGAAAAACACTTTAGGTAAGGTCCTGGCAAGAACAAAGCTACAGCAAAGCAAAGTTCGGTGCCATCAAGTCGATTCCAACTTACAGCAACCCTGTGTACAAAAGAACGACACACTGCCCAGTCCACACTAGATACGTTAGGCATTAGTGCAAATTAAACAGCGTTTACGCCAATTTGAGTGGTAAAAAACAATCAAATGGGAAATAAAGATTGTAAAGGGAAAGGGCAGACAAATACATATAAACACTACCACTCAACCGTAAAGTGTAGCCATTCTGATGTTAGGAAAAAAAACAATAAAGATGACTGGAAGCAAGGACTATAACAAGTGACTGATATTCAGAAATAAGGCAACAGGATCATTGACTAATCATCTGTTAGGTACCTTCGAGTTGATTTTGACTCAGAGTGACCCCATGTGACAGATTAAAACCGTGCCATAATGTCTTCTTGGCTGTTCAAATAGAACAAGGGGATACTGTGTTTTAAAATCAGGAAAGGTGTGTGTCAGGGTTGTATCCTTTCACCACACTTATTCAATCTGTATGCTGAGCACATAATCCGAGAAGCTGGACCACATGAAGAGGAACGTGGCATCAGGCCTGGAGGAAGACGCATTAACAACCTGTGATATGCAGACGACATAACTCTGCTTGCTGAAAGTGAAGATTTGAAGCATTTACACAAACATTACGGCCTTCAGTACGCATTACACCTCGATAAACAAAAATCCTTACAACTAGACCAAATAAGCAACTTCATGATAAACACACAAAAGAGTGAAGATGTCAAGGATTTCATTTTACTTAGCTCCACCATGTACAGCCATGAAAACAGCAGTCAAGAAATCACACAATGAATTACGCTGGGCGAATCTGCTGCAGAAGTCCTCTTTAAAGCATTTAAGAGCAAAGATGACACTTTGAAGACTAAGGTGTGCATGACCCAAGCCATGGTATTTCCAATAGCCGAATATGCACGGGAAAGCTTGACAATGAATCAGTCAGGAAGACTGCAGAACGGAGGCATTTAAATTGTGGTGTTGGTGAGGAATACTGAATATACCATAGACTACTAGAAGAATGAACAAATCTGTCTTGGAGGAAGTACAGCTGGAATGCTTCTTAGAAGGGAGAATGGCCAGACTTTGTCTTACATGCTTTGGTCATGTTGTCAGAATGGACCAGTCTCTAGGGACGGCTATCATGCTAGGGAAAGCAGAGGGCAATGAAAAAGTGGGGACCTCAATGAGCTGGACGGACACAGCGGCTACAACAATGGACTCAGCATGGCGACGACTCGGAGGGTGGTGCACGACGAGGCACTGTTTCACTCTGTTGTACCCAGGTTTGCCATGAGTCAAGACCGACTCCATAGCACCTAACAACAAGAAGAAGCTTTATGAAGAAAGATTGCCAGGTCTTTCTTCCGTGTAGCCAGGGGGTGGGTTCGAACCGCCAACTTTTCGGGTAACAGCCAAGCTCTTAACCATTTGCACCACCAGGCTATACTGTAACACATTTGGTTTAAGCCCTCTCCCCCAACCGTGAGTGTCCGTGGGAAGGCCTCTGTGACAAAGCTTTCTGCATAGAGCCTAGCACGGAGTTGATGTGCACAGAATGACTGTAAGAAAGAATGCAAGAGACTGACTACATTTTATTTGTATTTTGAGCTACATATTGATAAGCTTGGTAAAAATTCAGAAATCAGCAGCAATAAAAAGGAACAAACTATCGTATATGTAACAACTTGGATGCCCCTCAAGGATTTTATTCTTAGTAAGAAATGCCAATCTCAAAAGGTTACATATTGTATGCCTCCATTCATGTAACATTCTGAAAATGACAGACAATAAAAGGTTAGTGGTCTCCAAAGGACAGGGATAGGAGTGTGAGCGTGCTTGCATGTGTGTGTGCATGCGAGCAGGTGGAGCTAAAAGGGTAGGGGAGGGAGATCTTTGTGGTAATGCAACAGTTCTGTGCCTTGATGGTGGCTGTGGTTATATGAATCTATACATGGGATCAAATTGCACAGAAGTATATATACACACATACATGCACATAACAAATACAAATGAATGCTGAGTAATGTCAGCAGTACAGGCAGCAGTATTGTCCATTTCCTGGTTTTGATATCATACTACAGTTAGATAAAATGTCACCACTGGGAAAACTGGGTGACGGGTTCATGGAACTCTTGTGAACCATTTTTGCGGCCACCTGAATGAGGCTACAGTTATTTCAAAATAAAAAGTTTTTGAAAATTTGGACAAATTTTTTTTCAAACCTATTAGACAAAGCCATTTGTGGTTTCTATAAAAATGACTCATTCATATTTGTATTTAAAAACAGCATGGTGAAAGTTGAAATTACATATTTTAAGGCTTTTTAAATAAAATTTACTTAATATTCAATAACTATAAAGGAAACAGTCCGTAAAAAGTAATCTCTACAAGCAGTTTTATTAATATCCAGATGTTTTGCCACTTCTAATGTTATTTTTTATGATACTGGTTTATGCAGCAGCTTACCTCTTTCAGTTATATTGACTAATATTGTTGATTCTGATTGACCCAAAGGATTGTAGGCATTCAAAGTAAAATTATATATTTCCCTGTTTGGAATCATTGGAAAGAATAACTGATAGTCTTCACTTGTGGCCTCTTCAGTTCTTTTAAAAGTAACAGTTTTCCCTGAAAAACTGAATTGAAAGATCAATAAACAATGTTAAAATATGATCAGAAGGGTATGAGATAAACATTGCAGAAAAAAATGAATGAGTGAATTTCTAATTATTAGTTTTTTGAAAAGTTTATATTTGTAGTTATAAACATATTACATAATCCTAGAAGAAAATGTTTAAGATACAGGAGGCAAATAGAAGAAAATCAGAAGGACCCATGGCCCACTATCCAGAAACAGTCCCTGTTTATAATGAGGGTTATTCCTCCCAAGCTGCTCGAAACAAAGAGGCAAGCAGTCCAGTCTCCACATATTGAGCTTGCAGCACTGATACTTACTCAATTTTATACAGCACGCTTAGTTGTGAATCTTGCTAATTTTGTAAATGAAACAAAGTGTTTTTCTACGTCATTTAACGTCTTTCCATGTATGCCTTGCCATTTAAGTTTCAGATCCTTTCACAATCACCCACCTTTCAAACAAGGTGTAACTTGTATTGCGTGGACCCAACAATCCTGTTGACCTTCCTGGGTTCCAAGTGCATATAATATCCTTTAAATTGTGTGTTTCACAGTTTAGTTTTTGAGGAATATCAGGTGGATCTAAAAGGAAAAAGAAAAAAAAAACCTGTAGTTACTTAAAATTAAATATATTTTCCCTGACAATGTAATGTTTTGTAAATGTTGGTCACATTTTGCACAATTTCCTCAAAAAGGAAATAATTTACTGTTTGTTTTACTTCTGAACAATACAGGAATTATCATTCTTTCCACAGTGTGGTTTATCCAAGTTCACAGTATATCAGAAGTGACAGGCAAAAACATACTAAAGAAGGACTTTTAGCTAGTTTGGAAACTCCCCAGTAGCAACTTGAAGAGATCAACTATTATTTTTTCCCTTGAATTATATTTCAGAGCTGGCCATATCTCTCAAACTAACCTGTATCCAACAAGTTAATTTTAAAAAATTTAAAGTTGAAAGGTATTATCATCTATATAAAGCCAATATAAGTCATGTCATACATTTCAAAAGTTCTTATATAAGTGATAAGGATGATTATTTACAAAGTAAAAGTGTTAGTAATATTCTGCATCACTATATATGCGGCTGTTTTGTTGTTTTTACTCTTTATTGGAACAGTTCTCCCCAGTTTTGTAAGGCAGGACTCCAAAATAAAAAAAGATTAGTTTTTTTTTTTTGAGACTTTAAGAATGATACATGGATACTGCAGTCTGACATTGCTTACTGTGAAAACTGTTATTTCTGTAACCATGTTGAACCAAACATTACAGAAAGTTATTTCCTATAGTCATATTCACTGAAATTATCTTTCATTAAAAGGTAGGTTTTGTTTTTCTTTTTAATAATCCACTTGTTAAAAAACATTCTGTAATTTTTTTAAATAAATTTTTGAAACAGTCCAGTTTATCAACTAAGACTTAGAAAATTTCACATCCCTTTTCCCAGAGATAAGAATAGCCTCTATCAATGACATTTCAAATATTAAGAGGAATAATGGATACCTCATATGAAAATGTTAACAATTTGACAATTAAAATAACATCATATTTATTTTGGAAATATTTTAAATCTAAAGCTAAACTTACAGGCAACTTTACTAAAATTACATGTCAAGTAATTTGAATATATTTAAACTGTTGAATATTTTTAGGATTTGGCAAAAGTATTCAGGTGAAATACTTAAAATCTGAATAACAAAAGTAAACTAGAAAGAAGAAGTAGAAAACAGAAGGAAAAAGAGAAGAAAATATTTGAAATGCAACGTACTGATTTTCTTTTTTTAAAAAAATTAAGTTGCAAAAGAATTAACAGAAGGTAAGTATAAGGTCAATATCAAGCAGATCAAATGTATTTGTATATACCAGCAAATAAAAAATAAAATTTAAAAAGCTCAGCCATTTTCAATAGCATCAGAAAATATCAAATGTCCATTAATAAATGTGCCAAAAGATATACAAGACCTGACATCACTGAGCTAAATTAAAGACTTAAATCAATGGAGGCATATGTTCATGGTTTAGAAACTCAATAATGTAAAAATGAATATTCTCCAAAATCAATCTATATATTTAATGTAATTCCAGTCAAAATCCTAGGTGGTTTTGATTATGCATGTGTGTGTGTATATAAGGAGAAACTGACAAGTGGATTCAAAAATTCTTTTCAATAAATAGTAAGTTAAAAGGATATGCATATGGGAAACAAAATTCATTTTGATCCCTATCTCACACCATCACTTTTAAGTTTCTGAAGAGTTTCCACTAAAAGACAATGTTATTGCTGCTTTTGAATTGAGAAATACTCCACTGTATCTCAACCTCCAAACATTATAAATTAAGGTTAAAAGATGAACTAAACAGGTTTGTTCTTGTACTATGATGAAAGATTAGAATATGCTTGGAAGGAACAAAAATGGCAACAACACATATTGTCATCTCTAGTTCTGGTAGCATAGTGCCTAAGGCACTTGACTGCTGATCAGGAGGCTGGTGGTTCAAACCCACCAGCCACTCCTCATAAGGAAGATGGGGCAATCTACTTACGTAGTGATACTACCTCGGAAACCCAAGGAGGGGTCGCTATGAGTTGGGTCCGACTCAACGGCACATAACAACATTACAACAACATTTTAATTGTTTTCTTGCATACTTTTAAGCTAATACCTCCCTTTTTGGTACCACAAGCAATCACCCAGAAGGACACAAAAAACTATACAATTTAGACTAAAAACTCTAAATACATAATAATCTGTGGACTTATCTACACAAATCGTGTAGATATGGCAATCCACCAAAGCAACCTTTGGAAATGTCATGGGATTTTATAACTGTAGCAGTGATCATGTTAACAAAAATGCCCCTGAATTATGACATATACATTATATAAAGAATACAGTAAATCTTCCTCCTGTCCTTGTCCTCCAACCACTCTTTTCCCCATCAAACTTATGTCTCAAAAGTTGAAGAAGCATGTATTATGCTTCTGAAAGATTCCGTGTAAAAATATTATAGTATCTTTAATTCAGGAACTTAAGAAAGTAAACTTTAACTAGGTGGTAAATTAATTTCTAAGAAATAATTCCTACTTGAACAATTTGGAATTAAGAAATTATTACATCCCAATGATGATTGGGATGCTTTGACCCAACAAAGAATCTAAACTAAAGAATAGCAGCTGGACATTCCAAACACTGCTATAAAACCTACAATGAGCAAAGAAATAAGAAAGAAACATAATCACTCTGAAGAAAAAGAATTAAGGCTCTCAGGAGGAACAAAAAATCAGGAATTCTCTCTTTAATATTATATACTTACATCCTGCAAATATAACTGTTCCATCCACAATGGCGTCTGCTGTGAAAAGAACATTTGTTCCACTACTTGGAGAAGCAGAAATATTAGAGATCTTGATTGCAACATTTTCTCCATCAAGATGGATAAGGGGATACTTTTCTTTGCCAACATGTGCTGATAAAACTTTTTCTTGAATTATAAAACAAACAGTTATATCTGAGCCTACAAGTATGACTTTGTCTTGAGGAAAAACCCTACGCAGACCAGGCAACCCTAGAAATAACAAAAGGAATTACAAATAATTTAGAAGTCTTTTAACAGAAAATAATATCCATAATAGACTTTAAAAAAAGATTATTTTTATAATAGTCCACTATATACAAAATAAAGGAGTTCTGGTGATGTAGTGCCTAAGGTACCTAGACTGCCAACCAAAGGGTTGGTGGTTCAAACCCACCAGCTCTTCCGTGGAAGGAAGATGGGGCAATTTACTTCCGTAAAGATTTACTGTCTCAGAAACCCAAAGGGGGTCGCTATAAGTCGGAATGGACTCGATGGCAGTGAGTTCGCTTTGGTTTATGTACAATATATATTGTGATAGCCTACAGATACATCCCCCAAAGAATTAAAAAAATTCTTTAACTATAAAGCTCACAAGAAATGTTCTTCATTGGGCTCCAGTCACTCCACTCTTTGTGACCAGAGAAATGAAGATCATCAATGTAGCATCTCATTTCCACATAATGGGTGACACACTCCAAAGGGATGTCTGAGGTCCAACTCAAGTGATGAACTGTATCTTTACCATTCAGAGTTGTGTTGTGGGTAATCTAAAAATGAACACAAACATAAAATTAGATTTCTAAATAGTGGTATGTTCTCCTTTCCTTTAGGATTAAAAAATATAATAGACTGTATATCACCACCAGATAGTTGTAAAACTATCTGTTTTCTATAAGGCATATCATGATTTATTTATGTTTACTTCTTCTCCTTTAGGCCCTAGCACATTATCATACAATATTGTACACAAGAAAACATACCATTGCCTAAATGATTTCCATTTTTCAGAGAGAAAATAATGGAATGAATTTCTAAGACATAAAGTCAAAGGGAAGAGCAGTGTTGTTGTTGTTAGGTGTCAGTGAGCCAATTCGGACTCACAGTGACCCTACACACAATATAACAAGACACTGCCTGGTCCTGCACCGTCCTCACAATCGCTGCTATGTTTGAGCTCACTGTTGCAGCCCCTGTGTGAGGGTCTTCATCTTTTTAGCTGACCCTCTACTCCGTCAAGTATGATGCCCTTCTCTAGGAACTGTCCCTCCTGATAACATTTCCCAAGAGTGAGAGACAATGTCTCACTATCTTTGCTTCTAAGAAGCACTCTAGCTATACTTTTTTCAAAACCGATTTATTCGTTCTTCTGGTAGTCCATGGTATATTCAATATCCTTCACCAACACTGTTAATTCAAAGGCATCTATACATAGCTAAACTAGTGATCATGTGTGAATGCAGGTATTAGCAGAAATGCAATGTCCTAATGTATTTATCTGGCAGCATTTTACACTCCTAGTAGGATTGTGCAGAAGTTCCAACTGTTCTGGATTTTCTGGACTCTCAGTATGACAGTTGTGATGGCTGGAGCTGTGTGTTAACTTGGCTGGACCACAATTCTGTGTGGTTTGAGCTGTTGTGGTGTGGCTGTTCCTATGATAGGATCAGATGACTATGTTTTGAGCGGCTAATCTGTTGAAAGGGAGTTTCCCTAGGGGTGTGGCCTGCTTCCAGTGTATCTGTGGACATCCTGGGAGAGGAGACATTCTTCTGTGGATTGGGATTCTGTTGTGCTGCCTAGAACTGTCCGTGAGTGAACAATCCACCATTCGGCCTGGAGATCTTGGATTCATCATTTGTTGGAGTCAACAGCCGGTGTGCTGCCTGCCAGCCTTCAGCTCCTCAGCCCCTGCGGCTGCAAGAGTCGGGAAAAGCCTCCAGCTTGACGTTTGATCCAGGAACTCTGGACTTGCCAGCTTCTATAAGTGTGTGAACCATTTTCCTAAGATAAATCTCTATCTATCTATATATATATAAGCTTTACTGGTTTTGTTTCTCTAGAGAACCCAGTCTAACACAGCAGTTTTTTACTTTTGTTGGCAACTAATTTAAATTTTAAAGAAATAAAATGTATTTTCAACCCAGCTGTTACAGGCAGCAGAGAATAGTTACAATAGCAAATAGTTGCTAGAAGATATGCTTCCACCAAAATAAGGAAATAAGAGGAAGACAAAGGAATCAGAAAATAGGGAAACAATAAAAAGGTGACAAGAATCCCCTGGATGATGATGGAGAACCCCTGGACCACAGTCTCCTAACAGATGTGCTGAAAGACACTGGGTTTTACCTTGAATGGATTTACTTTACCCATTCATTACTTTACCTAGGTAATCACCTCGAAATCAATACTAATGAGATGGGTTGGCACAGTGGCTGCAAAGACAGGCTCAAGCATACCAAGGATTGTGAGGATGCAGCAGGACCAGGCAGTGTTCTGTTCTGTTGCACACAGGGCCAATGTGGATTGAAGCCAACCTGACGGCATCTAATAACGGCACCTAAGTATTCACCTCAACCCTAGGGGTTGACACCACAAGCAGCTCAGCTGTTTATGCTAATCCGTGTTAGACAAATACTGTCAGGACCTACGTGAGCCCTTATGTTAAAAGGGTTGAGAGACAAGGAAGAAGACCCTCAGAGAGATTTATTCACAGAGATAAAACTGACAGAATATCAACTGTGTTTGAACTTTTTGAGAGGTGATTCATAAAACATGGGGAGAATTTAAAATTGAATTAATGAAATAAAACAAACAAACAAAAGCAAAAACAATACAAGTAGCTGTATTTAAAAAAGGAGTAATACATACTACACTTGGTTCAGCTGTGAATACCAAAACCAAACTAAACTTACTGCCGCCGAGTCAGATCTGCCTCATAGTGACCCCTCCTTGGGTTTCCAAGGCAGTATCACTATAGAAGTAGATAGCTCAATCTTCCTCCGGAGAAGTGGCTGGTGGGTTTGAACCGCCAGCCTTTTGGTTAGCAGTCAAATAGGCACTATGCCACTGGAGCTCCCAGTTGTAATAGTGCTTACATAATTGTAATGCAAATAACAAACACTGGCTGACCAATAAGAGTAATTATATTGGAACAACGGAAGAAGATAGGATATGTAAGAACATGTGTGTATGTGTGTGTGCACAGTGGGAGGCATGGGCAGGGAGTGAGAGAGAGTTAAATTCTCACCTTCCGTTGTGGGAAGTTAATAAAGCACTGCTCAAAACTACGAAAATAAAGTCAAGAAATAAAAACATTAGCATGTTATTTGGAGAAACAGAGATAACAAAATAATGTGTTAGAAAAGTTGAAAGTGATTGTTTTCCATGGAGAGAAAAATCAGATTGCGGCAAGGGCTGCAATACCCCATAATTCCCAGGGCATCAGACACAACATGGTCTGTGCAGTGCACAGTTTCTGTGGCTGTATACAGGGCCTGTGGGCAGAAACCATCCAGTGCCTTATAAATGAAACACTAGTGCACAGTACTCCCAAATGTTAACCTATTATAAAACGATAGCACTATCAGTGACCATAAGCAACTCTTGACTTAAAATGTTTATATTAATCACACAGATATGATAAATAAAAATGTCAGCTTTTACTGTGAGCCTAGCTCATTTTTCCTCTTGTATTTCCATTTTTTAAAATTAATTGGTCCTTTCTCCATTTTCCTTTACTCTAACTGTATTTCCTTTTACAAAGATTGCTCTTCAATGATTATATCCTGAAAGAATGGAATCACTACCTTGTCATTGCTGACTTGTTAGGGGTTTTGTGGTGATGAGTAATGTGGTCTTAGAACAGTATTTCCTTTCACTTATCTTTGACTTCACTTAAACTTCAAAAAGTATCCCTCTTATTTTAGCACCCTGAATTTTCTTTTAAAAAAAAGGTCAACTACTTTCCAAAGGAAACAATAAGAACTAGTATTTGTTTAGTAACTTCACAGACATCATCATATCATTTACTGTTTGGACCCTAGGGTAAGAATTATCACCACTTTAAAAATGAGGAAAAGGAGGTTTTAAGAAGTCCCCCAAGACAGTAAGTGGTAGCCCTAGCATGAAAAATGTTATGCCACTAAAAAAAGTTAAGCAATACAATTGTAAAGAAGTAGTAGTTTCAAGACTACAATGATATAGCTACATCAAAGCTAACTGCAAACTAGATTCACAGATAAGAACTGCTATTAGAATTTAACAAAAGAGAATTTTAAGCTGATGCAATAAAGATGGGCTTTAAAATAAGGGGTAGACATGAGTCTTGAAATGTAGGTTCAATTTGTATAAATGAAAAGGAAAAACAGTATTTTAAATGAAAATCAGACATGTACTAAACTGCCTGTGTTCAAAACCTGCCTTAACCATTCCATGTATCTGCAACTCTTTATCTTCATCTGTAAAATGTGGATGATAATAATTGTACCTCCCTCAACGGGCTGTTGTATTAAAAGAGTTAACATAAACAGCCATCCAAGGTACAACAACTGGTGTCTATTCACCTGGAGCAACAGCGAGTCAGGAATAGGAAGAGGACATGGGGGAATGGCTGACTGCCTCCATGAACAACTGCTTCCTCTGGCATGAGACCAGAAGAAGTGGATGGTGCCTGGCTACTATTACTGAATATTTTGATCAAAGATTCCAAAGATGAATTTTGATCAAAAACGTGAAAATATAAAACAGAATTTCAAATTCTCATGGACTCTATACTTTCTGGAGCCTGTAGGGTGGGTAAACCCTAAAACTACTGCTCTGAGATAATCTTCAAACCTTAAACCGACAGTACCCCCTCAAGTCTTCTTTAAATCAAATAAATGTTTATCTTAATTAGTAAACAATGCCTGCCTTTAGCACTGTGTTAATTTAGAAACTTTCTATAGGGGATCAAACTGACCATGTTGTTGTTGTCATGTGCCGTCGAGTCGGCCCCGACTCATAGCGACCCCTCCTTGGGTTTCCAAGGCAGTATCACTACGGAAGTAGGATTGCCCAACCTTCCTTCCGAGGAGTGGCCATAAGCAACTCAAAAGTTCAGGTAAGAAACTTAGAGGGCAGTAAGTTTATGTTGATGGAGGGAGGAACATTCGGAAAATGAGGGTGAAAATGACTGCATGACTTGAAGAACGTAATCAACGTCACTGGATTACATACAAATATAGAAATGGTTCAGCTGATGTCTGTTCTGCTGTGTATATTCTCAATAACAACAAACATCAAATAAGTGATATAAAAAAGAATTAACATGTATAAAAGAATGTAGAACAGTGTAAGGAACACAACAAGCACTAGATATGTGCAACCGACAATTATTACTTACTATTTTAGGAGTGTAGTACATAGTAAATTAAAAAGCAAAAATAGGAAAGTATGAAATACAGAATAATCCTAGTTATGACCTTCTCTATCTTATCCATGTAGTTAAACAAATAAACATAAGATCAAAAATGGTCCTCTAATTCTTAAACTTACTGGATATTTCAAATTCAATAAAGAAGGAAATATGGTAAGGGTAAAGGGGGATTCAGCAGGTAGCAGCATTCACAACTTTTCACTGCTGTTTCTCATTAGCCCTTACAGTAGGAGCAAACTGAAACAGTTAACAACAACAACAACAACAAAAAAACAGTTAAACAGTTTTTAACAGGATTTAAAAAATAAAGGGAAAACAGTCCACGTACTAAATGTAAGAACGTTTCATCAATTTCTGATAAATTCAAGCTTACAGATACATACAATTTTCTCTGCAATTACTATAGGTGTATGTTTCAGAACATTTACTTTCATATTTATAATTATTAGACAGAGATAAAAACACTGTACTAAATTATATGTACACTTTCATTTCTGTAAAAACGTGCACATATAAAATGCTAGGAGAGCATACACAAAGATAACATTTACTGTGTTTTGGCAGGCTCATGGATTATTTTACCCTTAATTTCCTAAACTTCCTATAATGGTTCTGTTGCTGTTGTTGTTGTTACGTGCCATCGAGTCGGACCCGACTCATAGCGACCCCCTCCTTGTGTTTCCGAGGCAGTATCACTACGTAAGTAGATTGCCCCATCTTCCTTCCCAGGAGTGGCTGGTGGGTTTGAACCACCAGCCTTCTGGTTAGCAGTCAAGTGCCTTAGGCACTATGTTACCAGAGCTAGACGTTAGTAACTCACAAGTGATTTTTCAATCATAGCATATGATTTGCAATGAACCCTACAAGGATATGTGATCAACTTCCTTAATATCAAAAGTTCACTAATAATACCTTAAAAATCTCTTTAAAAAAAGGATTCCATTTCTTTAATGTCATTTGAAAAACAATCTTATTTTTGTTTAGACTTACTAATGTTACAATTTCCATCCTCTTCGTACGTAGAATTTTAATTTGCCAGATGACGTTTGAGTGGTGTGGAAAAACAGAGCCCTTGTCATTCCACTTGATGTGTAATGTTGAAGTTGGAAAATCAGCAGACAAGTTCAAGATCTCTGGAACATCTGGAATTAAGGCTTAAAAAAGAAACCAAAAATAAAACTGACTAAAATAATTCATGATTGTCATATTGTAATTCCATTCATCAACTTTTACACTTTATCCCTTCTTAATCCAAAACAAATAATCAAGAATTAAAACTTAAACTCTCAGACCTACTCCTGAAAACCAAGAGAATAAACGTATGTTTATTTATACAGGCAGCTCCCAATGACGAAAGTCTGCTGGCTGTTTCAAATCCATAATACAGTTTCAAATACAGCAAAACTGGACTCCCCACAACTACAGTCCCCTGGTCTGAACCCTGGGACTTACAAGCGGGCAACATCAAAGAGAAGGGCAAGAGTCTCTTCTGGGCCATGACCAGGTCAGGTCTAAGAAAACAACAAAGGATGGAAAGCTGTCTTTTCTGGAGTCTTCCCCTCATCTTCCAGTGCCAGAGACCCTCCTGCTGGGGGGAGGGGTCATCAACTTGAGGACTGCCAGAGACTATCACTGGAATGGGGATTCCAGGACACTTACTTGTGCTCATGAGGAACCTGTACATAGACCAAGAGGTAGTCATACAAACAGAACAAGGAGATGCCACATGGTTTAAAATCAGGAAGGGTGTGCATCAGGATCGCATCCTGTCACCACACTCATTCAGTCTGTATGCTGACAAATAAACTGAGAAGCTGGACTACGTGAAGAAGAACGCAGCACTAGGACTGGAGGAAGACTCATTAACAACCTGCAATATGCAGAGACACAACCTTGCTTGCTGAAATGAAGATGATCTGAAGCACTTACTGATGAAGATCATTGACTACAGCTTTCAGTATGGACTACAACTCAACATAATGAAAAGAAAAATCCTCACAGCTGGACCAAAAAGCAACATGATGATAAACAGGGAAAAGATCAAAGTTGTCAAGGATTCCATTTAACTTGGACCCACAATCTACAGCTACGGAAGCAGCACTCAAGAAATCAGAAATCATACTGTACTGGGCAAATGTGCTGCAAAAGACCTCTTTAAAATGTTACAGAGCAAAGATGTCACTTTGATGACTAAGCTGTGCCTGACTCAAGCCATGATATTTTCAAGCCTTGTATGCATGTGAGAGCAGAACAGTGAACAGAGAGGAATGCAGAACTGATCCATGTGAGTTGTGGTGCTGGTGACAAATGCTGAACGTGCCATGGACTGCTGGAAGAATGGACAGATCTACCTTGGAGGATGCAAAGCCAGAATGCTCCTCAGAAGTGAGAACGGCCAGACTTCGACTCTCGTCCTGTGGTCATGCTGTCAGAAGGGACCGTCCCTGGAGGAGGATCTCACACTTGGTAAAGCTGAGGGTCAGCGAAAAAGGAGAAAACCCACAACAAGACAGATCGACACAGTGGCTGTGATGATGGGCTCAAGCATGGCTACTACCGTGAGGATGGCTCAGGGCAGGGTAGTGTTTTGTTCCATTGTACACAGGTTCACTACGAGTCAGAACCAACTCGACGGCACCTAACAACGTCATCGATTATATCTGTCCACCAGTTGCCACTGAGTTGATTCTGACTCACGTTGACATGTGTGTATTAGAGGAGAACTGTCCTCCATATGGTTTTCAATGACTTTTCAGAAGCAGATGGCCAGGCCTTTCTTCCGAGGTGCCTCTAGGTAGATTCACACCTACAACCTTTCAGTTAGCAGCCGAGAGTGTTAACTAACCATTTGCATCACCCAGAGGTTCCTACCACTGGTTGTAGAGATCACTAGGCGGCAGAAGGACTGTAGTAAAGACTAAGGCATTGAGTTAGGAAGCCAGGAGATTACTGTGCAGAAGTCATGTGATATAACAAATATTTCAGTTGCACACCACTGTTTAGCAAGGGGTATGCAGCACAGTTTGCAGAGAACTGAGATAAGAGATAAGATGATCAATTAAGAGAAAGTAGTGAAATCCCAGCTCCACTACTAAAGATATAGGCTGCAACGGCATGAATGAAAAAGAAAGGACAAAATTTGATGGATATTTCAAAGAAATGACTGCATCGTTTGATGAATGTGCTATAAAGAGAAGAGGAAACATCCAAGATTTCTCTTAAGTTTCCAGCAAGCAGAAAGAAAGGCAAAAGGAATCAGGAACCACTGAAGAGATACAGAAGACTAGTAGTGAATGACTGTCAGGGGAGAAGAGATGATTCAATGGAAAGTTCTACAGAATAACAAGGGGATCAGAACTGTGGATAACTCAGGACTAAGGCAGAGTATAGCTGAAGAAACAACCAGAAATGCACGGAGATAAAACTGCTCCTGATAGTTATGACCTCCAAGGAACCAGTGACGCCAGCCAAGAATTCTGACAGAGTACAAGATGGAAGCAGCAGGAAAAAAAAAGGGAAATCCACAATCACTGAGACCAAAAGAAACTGGCAGTCACGTGGGCCAAATAAAGCAGGGCTCCTAGAGAGACTGAGAAAAGAACACTCCCTCTGGTTCGGGTACTATCAATGCTAACGAAAGAAGTTCAATGAGCTGTGGGCTCTGAAGCTGCATCATGAAAGGCAAAGAAGAAAACTATGTTTGCTCAAGACTCTGGGCACGCAATAGAAATAGATAAATTTAAAAAAAAAAGCGGGCAGAAAGAAGTTAAGTATCCTTATAAATTGTCAATTCTTTAAGGCATGTATAAATTACTGAACATTTTGGATTAGTGGAAAACAAAGCAGGGTGTGCGCTTGCTCAGTTCTGTGGAATGGTGGCTTTCTGGCACAAAGGGCAGAAAGACTTGGGACACTCTTACACGTCTCCTCAAGTTGATACAGCAAGGTGAAGGTCATCTGAAAGAAATGCAGAGGCACACCTCGCTGCTCTCATTTCTATCAACATCCTTCCCATGAAGCTCAAAGACCAATCAAATAATCAGGGAAAGTAACAACAGCAGAAGTGTGCAGGGAAGGGTGGTGGAATTTGCTAAACAGCAGAAACAGGAGAACCAACCAATGTAGCTTAGTTTGTCTCAGAACTCAAAAAGAAATGCACTTACTAGACTTAACCTAAATCTGCTGACCACAGGGCCCTACAGAGGACTTGTGTAAAACAAATAAATGCAAAGTCACCAGTTACACAGCTGTGCAAGGACAGTGGAGAATGCTTTGCCAGAGAAGTCTTAAGTAAGAAGTTGTTTTTAAAAAAGGAAAAGCACAGGTCAATGATGAGCAACAAGTTGTTTCAGTGCCAGGAAAGGGAAAGCCCAAGGTATCAGTGTGACCAGAACAGAGCACAAGACTTCAGACAGCTCAGAGCAACAGGGGTACACGACAGGTTCTAGGAATGGGGCCCTTCTTTCAAATGATTCCAGATGTCACAATGTAGTGACTTGAAGATTTTGAGACATGGGAGTAATTCACAAAACAACACTCATCTATTAAAATGCTGTCCTCCCTAAAAAGGGCACACCATTTAAATTTTATCTAAAAAGCAGTAGGCTACTGTACAAAACACGTGTCATGCCAAGGACAGAAAGCGCTACAATTATAAACAGAGGGATTTAAAAAAAAAAAAAACCTCATGTACTTTTTTCCTTCCTCATCTTCATAGTATGCATGGAAGTTTTCCCTATGCGCCCATGCTCTGTTATCTGCATTTCTTTCCAGCTAAAATAGAAACTTGATGACAATGTTAACTTGCTTTCTAGAAACTCAAACTTTCCAGCTAAGGGAGAAATTGAATCAAAGGCTTGTTTGTTTATTTTTTAAAGCCAGTACAGCTCCATCCGTAACCTACATGGTTTCTTCCTTAGAACCTCAGGAGGTCAGGGACTTTCCCAGCTCTTTTATAGCATCTACATTAGGATCCAAATATTCAGGTTATTTTTAGAAACTTGGATGCTAAAAGTCTCACAAAGACTTTGTGTGCCTCCCTTTGCTAAGTAGAAACATACACCAGGTCCATGATTATTAAACATTCTACAATAAATCAGATGATATGCAACAAAGAATGAACCACTAATTGTAACTGAGGAATTTAGAGTCTGCCTGAATCTGCCTTTCTGATCTTGTCTATCTAACACTGTCATCTTCCAACAGCTTCTTAGACAAGAACTCTAAGTACCTACTGCAAAAATCATATCTCACAAACTGGTTCTCTACAGAACTGTGGAGATTTTTAAAATCTGAAGTAAAATTAACTTAGAGTCCTCAATATTTTACTACAAAATAATTCCAGATGGATGAAAGATTTAAAATCAAACATGATAGCAAAATCAAAAACTCATAAAAGAAAAACATCAAGAGGCTCTATTTTGGTGATAAAAATACCATAACATTCTTTAAAAATATTATAAACTTGGAAAAATATTTGCAGCAAACATAATGAGTCAATAACTATAATAGAGAACCCTCTTGTGAACTGCTGAGGAAAAAGGTGACTAACAAGAGAAAAATGACATACTAGACAGTTACAAATAATACAAAAAAAATTGAATTTAAAAAAAAAAAGAAATGCAAAAACAACAGAGACAGAATTTCGGGGCTATCAGACTGGAGTGGCAAACATCACAGAGATGGCAACACCCAGTACTGACACAGAAGCAGGTGCTCCAACTAATGTTTGAGGAACTGCAAAGAGGCTCAAAATTTCTCAAAAGTCTTTATAAAAGGAGTAACTTTAACTCACCAATCATTAATTCCAGGAATTCAGCCTAATTAAATCATAAGACAGATTCACAAACATATATGTGCAAAAGATTTTCATGAGAGCATTGGTTATAATATTCAAAAACTAGAAACAAAAATTTAAATGTCAAGAATAGATCATTTAATTATGATAGCTCCACTAAAGAGAATGCTATGCACCAATTAAAAAATAATGTAGACTTAATAACTTGAAAATATATGTCTTATATGCCTCTGTTCAGCAATTATAAAGTAATATGAACTTTATTTATATGTATATGAACACAAAATATATTTGTTAATAGTATTTTTCTCTGGGTCCTGGGTTCATGGCTAACTCTTTATAACTCCTTGCATATTTGAATATTCTACGAAGCATGTACTCTTCCTCAAAGTTTCTGATGTAAATAAAATTCGTATGTGCCCACTTAATGTATCGATTTGACTCATAGTGACCTCTCCTTGTGTTTCCGAAGCAGTATCTTTATGAAAGTAGATTGCCCAATCTTCCTTCCATGGAGTATCTCAAAATTAACCACAAATCTAGTTTATCATCATCAATGTTATTATAAACAAAATATTCTGACCTGGATCTGACATATAACTGTAGGAGTAAAATAACCAGGTGGTTCTCCTCTGATTATCTTGAAAGAGGCCTAAGTAGCACTATACACTGACCACACTCTGCCAAAAAATAGAACAGACCGTACATTTCTGGACAGCGTGCTTTGTGATTTTGCTCCCATCTGTGCTTTTTCAGACAGGGGCCACCCAAGCATGTATCTCATCCATAATATTGGACAAACTGCCAAGTTAATTATATTTTATTTCCCTTGCTTCAAAGAAAGTCACCCTTATAAGACACATTATAATTTCACTATAATATGGTCTCATGAACAGTTGCCAGGGGCTGACAAATCTGCTTGCCCCATCATTAAGAGTCAAGACTAGCAGGGTTCATAAGGTCTTGCTGTGTAGCAAAATCTCCATCTCTGTCAGCCTGCATTCATCCAGTGCTTCCAATCTGCTTGAAGCATACGTGCTATGCGTTCAAGATACAAATCTGTAGTAAATTCCTGCTCTATTCAAGGTGCTAAGTTAGAAGACAAAGTCCCTCTCTCACAGAATCTATACTCTTGTAGAAACACACAGTAAATTCTTAATATAACTGTGATGAGTGCTACAAAGGAGAAGGACAGATGGGGTAAGGATATATCAAGAAAGGAATAGGATCTCTTTTGGAAAAGGGTGGTCAAGGGGAGTCTAAGAAACTATGAAAGATGTACAGGAATCAACGAGGCAAAAGAGTAAGGTTAAGGGAAGAGTATCAAACTGACAGAAGGATCTTGAACTGTGTGACATCTATTTTGACTAGAAGACAAGTCAGCTTCCTTTCTGATCTTGACTGTAATCTGCAATCAAAAGTAAAGTTGCTGAGTAGATGAAAGTACCAGTGAAATTACTGAAATTAAAAAGAATGCTAAGCTTCTATCAACAAGAAAGCACTGTAACACTAACAAAAGCAGTATTCTCAGCTATTTAAAAATCAACTTTCCCTGAAGTAAATACTTACAAACGTTTTCCTCATTTAGTATAAATTTACTTATGGAACTTCTGAAATCATGTAGAGGATTTATTGTTATTTCATGATCACCCGGTAAAAGAGCTGGGATTTTAGCACTCGTTTTCACTGATCGATAACAAGAATTGAACCTGTAAATTAAGAAAGAGCATTTTAATTTGGCAGGTAAAATTAACAGTGTGATTTCCATAATAGCTTGAGTTAACACCAACGGACAGTCCCAAGGCTGTCGCATGGATTCCGACTCACAGCAGCCTTAAGTATGTAGCGCTGGTGTGCTGTCAAATTGATTCTAACTCAGATTGACCCAGTATGACAGAGCAGAACTGCCCCGTAGGCTGTAATCTTTATTGGAATAGATTTCTGGGTCTTTACTCCCATGGAGCTGATGGTGGGGGTTTGAACTGCTGACCTTGCTGTTAGCAGCTGAGTGCCACCACGGATCCTTTCATAAATAACTTATTAGGACCTAATGATATCTGCTCTTATGAGACCAATTAAAGCTTTCATTTATGAAGCAGAACATGGGAAAGGCCGTATCTAAATATGTTTCCCACAGGTTCTGCCATGGTTATTCAATAATCAGGTATTCATAATCTTTGTCAACAAATTATACACTGTTTTAAGGGAAAGCATGTATCATATCATTTCCTCATCACAGCAACTCTAAACTAACAATTATATCATAAAGAGATTCAATGCAAATACATCTGAATAACAAATACATGGCACTGAAGAATGATAATAATAAAAAGAAACTTGCTTCAGGGCTGTCAAGTTGATTCTAACTCATAGAGACTCCAGGTGACAGAGAAGACCTGCCCTGCAGGGCTGTCCAGGCTGTAATCTGTACAGAATAAGATTCATATCTTTCTCCTGCAGAACCAGTGGGTGGGCTCAAACTGCTAACCTTCTGGTAAGTAACTGAGAGCTTATAAATTCCCCAGTAATCTACTGTATCTCAACTGTGATAGTTGGAGCTGTGTGTCAACTTGGCTGGACCGTAATTCTGTGTGGTTTAAGCAGTTGTGATGTGGGTTATTCCCATTATGGGATCGGATGTGTATGTTTTGAGCAGCCAAACAATTGAAAGGGAGTTTCCCTAGGGGTGTGGCCTGCTTCCAATATATTTAGGGACATCCTGGGAAAAGAGACACTCTTCTGTGGATCGGGATCCTGTTGCACTGCCTACAACTGTCCATGAGCGGACAATCCACCATTCGTCCTGGAGATCTTGGATTCATCATTTGTTGGAGTCAACAGCTGGTATACTGCCTGCCAACCTTGAGTTCATCAGCCCCTGCAACTGCGTGAGTTGGGAAAAGCCTCCAGCTTGATGTGTGATCTAAGAACTTGGGACTTGCCAGCTTATGTAAGTGTGTGAGCCATTTTCCTAAGATAAACTTTTCATTCTCCATATGTATATATAAGCTTTACTGGTTTTGCTTCTCTAGAGAACCCAGCCTAACACATCGACAATGCACAAACCTTGTTGTTGTTATGTGCTGTCAAGTTGGACCCAACTCATAGCGACCCCTCCTTGGGTTTCCGAGGCGGTATCACTATGGAAGTACATTGCTCCCTCTTCCTTCTGAGGAGTGGCTGGTGGGTTTGAACTGCCAGCTTTAGGCACTACACTACCTGAGCTGCTGCACAAACCTTACCACTCTGCTATTCTAAGTGTTGTCCAATGATCAGCAATAGTAACATTGTCTAGGAGCTAATTAGAAATGCAGAAATTTCTGGCAATCCGGGCAAGACCTTCCGAATCAGAATCTGTGTTTGGACAAGACTTCTGTGTACATGAAAGTTGGAGAAGAACTGATCTTCCGGGCAGGATGAAAGAAGATGGGAAGTAGAGAACCTGGTCCCTTCTGTTTCGAGGACATGAATATCGAATATAAATTTTCTTCCCATCATAGTATTTCTCCTTGTTGTTGTTGTTGTTATGTGCCATCGAGTCAGACCTGACTCACAGCGACCCCTCCTTGGGTTTCTGAGGCGGTATCACTACAGAAGTAGATTGCCCCATCTTCCTTCCAAGGTATTTCTCCTTCGTAGCCTTTTTTACATTAAAGATTTAAGTCATGATTATTGCAGCCTTTTACCAGTTTGAACACCCTTCTTCAAATTTAAATGCGTATTTACAACTTAGTTATGCACATGACACAACGGCCAGAAAGGAGGAGAAACCCAGTCATGGAGCTGACTGCCAGGAGAGGGGGTCTAAGAAGCAGCGATTCTAGATGGAGAAGCAGACTGAGGGAGGTTAAAGGACCGGACCTGCTTGAAAACAAAATGCTGGGAAAGCTGCAGAGGAGGCACCTGAGCCCAAATCTGGCCAAACACAAGCCACGCTCCTCTGCCAGGCAGCGGAGAGGGGACACAGAGGCGCTTGAGATGCGAGGGATGAGGGCTCAGAGTGGGAGCTGCGAGGAAGGCCTCAGGGCTGGAGGACAGGATGGGGAAGGTATGGCGTTTGGCGGAACCCGGCAGCCAGTGTCCTCAACCTGTTATCCTGCTTCAGTGGACCCCATGGTCCCACAGAGTCGACCAAAGTACCCTCAGAGTAGAGGAAATTCATGCCCCCATTGGGTGTGTGCATCTAATCCATGTATTCTGAGTTAGTTTAAATACTAACTGTCAGGATTTCAGGACAGAGCTCAGAGCTAGGATTCCAGATTGGGAAAAACAGGCACAGAGGACACAGAGGCGGCTAGTAATATGGGCAACTGCTCAGGAAGATGATAATGGGAAGATTAGGAGGACTGAGGATGGGACCATGGGAACTTCAGTATCTAAAATGTTTAGGTTAAAGAGGAGAAGCCTGGGGAAAAGGCTAAAAGGAAACCCACATGAGAGGTTAAAAAGTGGTGTCCCAGAAATGGATATATATACACACACACATACACATACACACAAACATCACATCACATCACATCACATATGGGAGATGGGAGCTCTGATGGCGTAGTGCCTATGGCATTTGACTGCTCAGAAGGAAGGTTGGGCAATCTACTTCAGTAGTGAAACCGCCTTGGAAACCCAAGGAGGGGTCGCTATGAGTCGGACCCGACTCTACAGCAGTGAGTTTGGTTTTATATTTATACAGGACCTCTGGTAGCGTAGTGCCTGAGGCACTTGACTGCTAACTAGAAGGCTAGCAGTTCAAACCCACCACCCACTCCTCGGAAGGAAGGTTGGGCAATCTACTTCTGTAGTGATACTGCCTCAGAAACCCAAGGAGGGGTCGCTATGAGTCAGGTCCGACTCAACAGCACATAAAAACAACAACATACACACATACACACACACACTTCATTCATTCATTCATTCATTTTAAAGATATGGCCAGCACAGTGAAAGGTAACAAAGATGTCAACCAGAGATGTGAAAAAACAAATAAATAAAAAGAAGTTAACAGTAAGCTTATCAATGTGGGACAAATAACCAGACTGTACAAGAAAGTACAGTAACCACAGATGACTCTTTCCAGAAACTCAGGGTTTAGCATGCCTGTCAGAATCCCAACCTGCGCTTTCCTTGCGAGCCTTCCCCTCAGCTCACACTCTCTCGACCAGCCCACCACACTGCTCCTCACACTAAGATGGGGCTCAGGAAGGCCTCAGGGCTGGCCGACAGTGTGGGGAAGGTGATGAAGCTAATGAAAGACAGGAAACTCCTTCAAAGACAACCTCCACGTCTCTCTGTCTAACACTCCTCACACTTTCTTTTGATCAAAGCTTCCCCATCAGCTCTGTTTTCAAAATGCTTCCAGTTCCCATGAAGCCGCTGCCATTATCCCTTAAAAGTGATCTTTGACCTCTGTGTCTCCCGACCCTTTGTGCCTCTAGAAAGCACTTCTGACATTCTTTTCATTATAATTCATGTCCATTTCTAGCTTCCCCAGGCGAGTTTAAACTCAAAGGGGGATTCTCTAGGCCTCTTGCACTCCTGCCCTACCCCCAGAATCAAGCACAGGCCCCTTCACCTTATTCACTTAGGACTGAAGCTTAAACAGGCTTCTGCTCACCTCCTTCTCAACTTCTTATGGTGAAACTTCTTGAGGTGCTAGCAACATGAAACCACCTGAGTTCTCCCAGCACATCATGCTATTTCACACGTTCATGCCATTGTACTCAGTACCCTTTCATGCAAAACGTTCCTCTGTCCTTTTTCTGCAGAGAAAACTTCAGTGTCCCTACTCTACAAGTACTCTGGTAGCGTCTCTGGACCTTGTACTCCCCAGCCCACACTCCCTCTGCCTTCACAGGCCATTTCTGGCCTTAATCAAAAGCACTGTGGGTATCTGTCCACTGTGAACTCCTTGGAAGCGGGAACCAACTTCCTCTCTTCGCAGCCTGTGGCCATCACTAGTGTTAGTCGCCAAATTTTTTGGTTCTCCCTGCTGGGCCCGTGGCAGGATTGCACTTCCTCACTACTCTGAAGCATGGCGCTGAGACTTCATCTGGCCAGAGAAATCTGAGAGGAAATTGCTTCTATCTTAGGAAGGAGGCCCTAGAAGCCAGCACAAGTTGTGCTCCCTCTCCCACCCCTGCTGTACCTCTCAATGTTCTAGAGGGTGAGGACCCCCAGCCTGGGCTCTAAGGGAGAGATGGGGCAGGGATCTGGCTTGACACACAATGAGCACGGCTAATGCACAAGCAGGAAAGAAGCCACTAAGATTTGAGGGTTGCTCGTTTCTGCAATACATTTAGCTCATCCTGACTGGTAAATGACCCCACTCCTTAAGATAATGCTCAGTAAATGTACCCTGAATGGGATGGTCTAAAAAACACCATCTGATTACATTTAAATAAATCTTCGTCAGCTGACATTAGGACTACTCATCAGTACATGGGGACGTGGTGCTGCCACACTGCACAACTGCTGTAGCGCTAGTGCGCAACTGTGACCTGCTGGGATTAGGGAAAAGCAACAGGAATTGTTCTGTCCTGCAAGCATTCCCAAGGCAGTGACTCTCGGTTTAGGAACCCTAGCCCATTCCAAGATTACTTGAGAGGATGAGAGGGAGTGTGGCAGAGCCTGCCACCAGCCTCCCAACACCCCTACCCCCTTTCTCCTTATAACGTGAACCCCAGGTTTGTCTGGACACACTGCTGCCCAGCTGATGTCCACATTTGTCTGCCTGCTGAGGAACTGGGTTTAGCCACTTGACTAAATTCTAGCCATTGAGATATAAGCAGAGGTTTGGGGCTGGGGCAGGCTGGGGGGCTTCTTAGAATCTCCTTAAAGAAAAGTACCTTCCTTTTTCCTTCCTGCTTTCTGGAATGCAGACATGACAGCACCTCAAGCACTCATCTTGGACCATGGCAGAGTAGCATAATAAAGAGGAACTGGGTCTCTGATGGCCGTGGACAACATGCTAACACGAGACTCCCCACCTCCTGAGTTTTTACATGAGGGTAAGTATCTGTCTCTCAAGCCACTAATACCGATGTTTTCTCTAATACAAAGTCAAGCTTCATCCTAACCGATAGAGGTAGATATTGTGGGACATACCTGCCACACTTCCCTAAGGCAGATCAGAACCCATATCAGGTAGAGCTATGCTCCATCCTCATTATTTATATAGTAAAAGAATCAACATTTTGGCTAGGAGAGGGTATTTTATGATCCTATTTGGGAGCTCTGGTAGCATAGTGGCTAAGGCACTTGACTGCTAACCAGAAGGCTGGTGGTTCAAACCCACCAGCCACTCCTCGGAAGGAAGATGGGGCAATCTACTCCCGTAGTGATACTGCCTCAGAAACCCAAGGAGGGGTCGCTATGAGTTGGGTCCGACTCGACGGCACATAACAACAGCAACAACAACAACATCATAATTGATGTAAACTTCAGAATTTGAGGAAAATATAGCATTACAGTTTAAAATTTCACAAAATATATTTCCAGAATAAAGGTTTTATGCCTTAAAAGATACTGAGCCTCTAGGCTGAGCTTGTGAATGAGTCCAAGTGTTGCTGTTACCTGTTCTCAATGCAAACTTCATAGAAAGTGCCATGACCAGAGGGTGCTTTCCATGAACAGTCCCACACTTTTAAATTGTTAGTTGTACACTTCAGATCATGAGGAGCCCCTGGAGAAAGAAAACCACACAACACAGGACATGCTTAATAGTATACGTGTACCATAAAAGGTCAACGTGCCAAGCCATTTTCAGTCTTAAGTACAAGTGTACCTATCTGCACAGGGCCCGAGTTCTCTGTGCAGAGGGAAGCCTGCACTCATGGGAGGTATGGGTGATTGGCGTTATATCTATTTTTAGATTTTTTTTAAAAAAAGCTAGAGGGTAAATGGATGAAAGTGGACCAACCACTAGGCTACATGGGAGTTAAGCTTCTTCTATCAAAAATGTTACTTCCAGGAAACTATGACACAAGTAGAAATGAGAAGTGACCAGATGTGCAAAATCAAGACGGCACCAGGAGAGGGCGTGGGGGGGATGTTAGTACTCCATCGGAATTGCCTCACTGGCAACTGGTACCGGGTAACCTCCCACAGCCACATTTGCGAAAGGAGAAAGGTAAAACTTTGTGTCTCCCATGCCAACAAGCACAGCTCTTAAAAACTCCTAGCCTCTACTGCTTCACAGCTTGCTAGCACACTGCCACCCTGCACAGAAGGCCCACAAGCAATCTTCAGTATTCAATTTAAGCAGCTATGCACTCACACAAGTCTTCAAAGTATATTCATTTTGTGTGTGAGTCCAAACAACTGAAAAGGAGCAAATAATTCAGAAGATTACACTCCCAATAGTAATAAATGCCACATCTATAAAATAACATCACTCCATAGAATACATAAGCACTATACAATGAAAAAAGAAACTCTGGTGGTGCAGGGCCTAAGGCATTTATTTGACTGCTAACCAGAAGGTTGGCGGTTCAAACCCACTAGCTGCTCTGCTGGTGGCGCAGTCTACTTCCATAAAGATTTACCACCTTGGAAACCCAATTGAGGTCACTATGCGTTAGAATCAACTCAATGGCAGTGGGTTTTTGTTTTGTTTTATTTTATACAATGAAAAAAAAGTCACCTTAAGAAAGAAAATGAGAAGAAAGTATGGTGTATGATGGAGAGAAGGAAGGAGGAAAAGAGGAAGGAAGGAAAAAAAAGAAAGAGATGAAGGAAGGAGAAGGGAGAAAGGTAAACCAAATATCTATCTGAGAAGATCTCTCTAAATAAGCATCTCTGGAACAGGTTTTTTTCTCTTTTATTTTTACATGTCATGCATGATATTCACTTGTAGCAATAAATTATGTTATTTATGTAAGACAGAAAAATAAACATTATATTAGAAGCTACTGCATTAAAAACAGTAATTATCACAATAATAAATTTATTTAATCACTGAACTTGGGGAAAACAGAGGGTCTGTTTAATTATGGAAGTAACACAAAAATTAAACCGAGGAGCTATACACAGGACTGTAATATTCTTTATGGAAATAAGTTAGGTGATACCTATATGAACATTTTTAATATATCTAATTAAGATGATAAGAAATGGTTATGTTATTTTTTAAAAAGATATATATTTCATTTATATGATATTCTGGAAGAGGCAAAAGTATTGAGACAGAAAACAGCCAGTGGTGGTGGGGGCGGGGGTGGGAGGGATTGGGTAGAGAGGAGCCCAGGGGACTTTTTGGGAGTGATGGGAATTTTGTATCTGATTGTGGTGGTGATGGTTACACAACTATATAAAACCAAACCTGTTGCCCTCCTGTCGATTCTGACTCATGGCAACGCTAGAGGACAAAGATGAACTGCTCCATAGGGATTCCAAGGCTGTAAATCTTTACAAAAGCAGACTGCCACAGCTTTCTCCCACACAGGGGCCAGTGGATTCAAACTGCTAACCTCTGGTTAGCAGTCAAGCATTTATCCACCGTGTGGTTATACAACTCTCTATATATAATTTGTCAAAACTCACTGACCTATATCCTAAAATGGGTAAATTTTACTGTATATAATTTATACCTTAAGATCTATCTTTTACAAAGAAACCAAAACATACATAGAACAGAGATAAAGAAATGGATTTTAACCACCAAAGTTCTGAAGAGTTCAACAAAGAAAGCATAAGATGGTGTCATAATCAAAATGGGGATAAACCTTCAATGGGTTCATTCTCTGAGGCCAATGCACTTACCCTTCTTCTGGCTATTTACTTGGTTCATTAGATACAGAAGAATGAATGAGAATAAGAGCCACTGGAAATGTGAACCAGTCTTCATTCTTTTACTGTCCACCATCCGGGATGGTTGTCTCAAACAGAAGTAAATGTCCATTGTCCATGCAATGTAGTCAGTCCTAGATTAAGACAGGAATTTTAAATGGTATCAAATTGCTCCAGACATATCACTAAGCTGTGCATCAAAAAAAAAAAAAAAAACCCACCACTGTTGTCAAGTCGATTCTGACTCATGGCAACCCCAGGTATTATTAACAGGGTAGAATTGCTCCATGATGCCGCTGGGTGGATTCGAACCACCATTAGGTTAGTAGTCGAGCCCAAACCATTCGCAATACCCAACTGCAACATGCTGTCCATTAATACCATTGGATACTAAGACAACACGCGTAAACGTATAAAGCACTTGGGATAGTGCCAAACACATAGTAAGTATTTCGTGTTTTATGGGATGTACAGGAGAGGAGAGGAAGCAAGGGTCACTACTCGTTTCGGTGGCTAAACAAGGATGGACGGATGGTAGTGCCACTTAAATCCTTAAATGAAGGAGGAATGAGGAATGGAGCTGAAACCAAAGAATTCAAAGATCTGTTTACAGATGTCAACCTTGATAATTCTCCCACCCTCCACTCCAAACAGAAGTAATTTGACCTTGTCAGACCTTCTTACTCATTCTTATGCTGTATCACTTACTCTGGATGTGGTATAAGGAGGAACCAAGCTCTGGAGAAGGGCATCATGCTTGGTAAAGGACAGGGTCAGTGAAAGAGAGAAGGACCCACAACAAGATAGCCTGACCCAGTCGCTACAACAATGAGCGCAGAGCCAGCAATGGCTGTGAGGAAGACCCAGGAAGGGCAACACTGCACTCTGCTGTACACAGGGTCTACGTACACAGGGTCTGTGTACGCAGGGTCTATGTAGTATGAATTGGAACTAACTCAATGGCACCTAACAACAACAACAACATTCTTCATTCTTCATTCTCCTGTACACAGGGTCTACGTACACAGGGTCTACGTACACAGGGTCTATGTACACAGGGTCTATGTACACAGGGCCTATGTAGTATGAGTTGGAACTAACTCAACGGCACCTAACAACAACAACAACATTTTGGAACAGACAACCAAGAATCATACAACAACTGAGGAAAACCTAAAACATTAAAGAGAAATTCAGGATAATCAAAAGGAAAATAAAAATGATTCCCAGAGGCAACAGGGATAATTTAGGAAACAGGAGGCAGAGGGGGAAAGAAAAAACCTACAGCACAGTTATAAAACAAGATCAGAATGCAATGAAAAAGGAAAATTCAGAAGTAGAAACAGGTCTGAGAAATTAAATATGTTGGCTGACAGTTAAAATTTTGAAAAGAATTAAGGATTAAAAGTTGAGCAATATTTCAGAAAAAGAGCAAAAATAGAAAATGTGAGAAAAGATATGACAGACATTTGATAAAGAAAAGGAACTCCAACACCTAAATAAGAAGGGCCCAATATGAGTATTCAAAAGACATTCTTCTCAGTGCAATCAAATGGCAGGCAAGGTCTCCTCTTGGCTAGTGAGAGAAAACTGTTACACACCTAGGGACTGAATGCTAAATAGCTTACACAGTTATAACCAAAATATACACAAGGCAAGAACACACATTTTAAAAGCGCAGGGTTATTTTCCAGATGAATGAATAACTTCCTGTTCCATTCCAGTGACACTGAGTCTACTTATTAGAATGAAAATGTATTCGTGGTATTTCTGAAACGCTATCTGCTAAAATTATAGAATTACATAGCTTGTACTGCAATAACCGGATAAGGGAGATCAAACATGACCCCACACTCCAACATTGCCTCAAATAATCACAAACCATATTCACTGACTGGTTAAACGTTACTTTGAATTGAAATGGTCCCTCACTACACCTTACAGTTATCGTAGAAAAGAGCCACGCGCCCCACTGCCACACCAGGAAGAAGTGGCAAATAGGGGCCAGAGGGAGGCAGCCGAGGAAGAGCTCTCCCCCAAATGCTGCGAGACTTAGACTCTAATCCTGGCTCCATTACTAATTAGCAGTGTGACTGAAGGAAAATCACTTAATCCTGCCCAGCTTCAGCCTCCATCACCACAGCACAGAGGCAAGATCTATTCAGGGCCTGCAGGAGAAACTTCCCAGAGTTAAGCTGTAATATTCCACTCCCGTTGGCAGGCACAAGAGTGCAGACAGTAGCTCGCTAGCGGAAGTGGGGCCTGGGAGCTCCAGCAATGGCCACGGATCAAGAAGCCTACCGAGGCGGTCAATGAACATCAGGACGGGGGCACTAGGGAACAGAAAAATAACCAACGGCAGCATCACCAAAACCTGCTTAACTTAAAATATGCGGGATAATAAAGAAGACTTTCTCTTGTCATAATATTTACACAGCAAATTTTAAGCAAGTCATTTCGGCAATATAATCTTACGCTTATAATAGATCCAACTTCTCCACCAAGCAAAACTTTCAGATAGACTAGCTGAAGGCTAAGACAATATACAAGCAGAGCCTTCCAAAGTACTTTTAGAGGAAAAAAAACACACTTGTGAAAATTCTCCCCAGTCCTTTCTGACAGAAACATTGTCAGAATTTACTTTTCTTTTCACCAATGCCTGGTTCTTTAGAGGAGAACAAATTTTTATAGAATTTCTAGGGCTAACTTTCAAAAATTAGGACACAGCAACAGGGGCCAAGTGGGTAGCACACAGGTAGACCAGGCAGGTAGGTACACAGGACAGGGCGGGGTCTCTACAAACAGAAGGGCACCTGCCTAGTCTACAGGTAGGACCCACAGGCCTGGTTTTGCCAAATTTTCTGATCCACTCCCACCCCCCCAAGCTGAAATCTGGGACCTTCTGTAAGGAATTAGGCAATCCAGGGATATCATAGCTGTTGTCAGATGGATCTTGGCTCAAGGCAAAGAATACCAGAAAGAGGTTTACTTGTGTTTTATTGACTATGCAAAGGCATTTGATTGTGTGGATCATGACAAATTATGGATAACATTGAGAAGAATGGGAATCCCTGAGCACTTGATTGTACTCATGAGGAATCTGTACCTTGACCAGGAGGCTGTCGTTCGAACAGAACAAGGGGACACTACATGGTTTAAAATCAAGAAGGGAGTGCGTCAGGGTTGTATTCTTTCTCCACACTTATTCAATCTATATGCTGAGCAAATAATCCGAGAAGCTGGACTATATGAAGAAAAACGTGGTATCAGGATTGGAGGAAGAATCATTAACAACCTGAGATATGCAGACGATACAACTTTGCTTGCTGAAAGTGAGGAGGACTTAAGGCACCTACTGATGAAGGTTGAAGAATACAGTCTGCAGTATGGATTACATCTCAACATAAAGAAAACAAAAATCCTCACAACTGGACCAATGAGCAGCATCACAATCAATGGAGAGAAGATTGAGGTTGTCAAGAAATTCACATTGCTTGGTTCTACAATCGATGCCAACGGAAGCAGCAGTCAGGACATTAGACGACGTGTAGCATTGGGAAAGTCAACTGCGAAGGAACTGTTTCAAGTGCTGAGGAGCAAGGATATCTCCTTGAGGACTAAGGTGCGCCTGACACAAGCCGTGATATTTCCAATCACCTTGTATGCATGTGAGAGCTGGACAATGAATAGGGAAGACCGAAGAAGAGTTGATGCTTTTGAGTTGTGGTGCTGGCGAAGAATGCTGAAAGTACCATGGACTGCTAGAAGAACTAACAGATCTGTCCTGGAGGAAGTGCAGCCAGAATGCTCCTTGGAAGCAAGAATGGCCAGACTTCGTCTCACCTCTTTTGGTCATGTTGTCAGAAGGGACCATTCCCTGGAGAAGGATGTCATGCTTGGTAGGGTGGAGGGTCGACGAAAGAGGGGGAGGCCTTCAACGAGATGGATTGATACAGTGGCTGCGATGATGGGCTCGAGTATAGCAGGGATTGTGGGGCTGGTGCGGGATCGGGCAGTGTTTCGTTCTGCTGTGCATGGGGTCGCTATGAGTCGGAAACGACTCGACGGCACTTAACATAACATAACCACATAACATTGGGTGGCACCAATGGCTAAGCACTTGGCTATTAATCAAAAGGTTTGCTGCTCAGATATACCCATAGGTGCCCTAGAAAAAAGGTCTGGCAATTTGCTTCTGAAAAGTTAGAGCCAATGAAAACTCCACGGAGCACGGTTCTCCTCTGACACACGTGATTTGTCACAGGTCAAAACTGACTCACTGGCAACTAGTTTGGTTTAGTTTTGGTGTGTAAGGAACTAATTCGTATGTTTCTAGCTCTTCAAGCAGTGTTCCTGAAAACCCTAGACATGAAAGAGCCCACAAGTGCCTAGTACAAAGGGTTACAAAGACACACACTGAAGTACTTCACTGAAAATATCAAAATAACTCTATGGAAGAAGACCTTCAAAGCGTCCAGGAAGGGGAGGGCCTACGCAAAGGCTCACGAAGGAGAACAGAACTAGGACCGTTTAGTGAAGTCAGGACTGGGTTTGAATCGGCTCTGTGCCTTGCCAGGTGAGCCTGGACAAACCCTCCGCTGGAACGTAGGGACAGGGATGACAGGACTTCCAGAGTGGTCATGGAGGTACAAGAAGCAACATGTGGAAAGCCCTTCACGTGGGTGTGGGATCAATAAACATTCGTGGGAGCGGAGGTGGGGGTATCAGACTTCTTTGCCCTAAAAACGAAAAGGACTGCTTTCCAAACTCTGAGTGAAAATTATTTTCACACTTGAATAATACACTCAACCAAACTGCTAATTAAATGGAAGTTTGAAGTAAATATATTGTATAAAGACATAAAATATTTCAAAAGACCTACTCCCGTATGCCCATTCTCTGGAGGCTCTGGAGGACATACTTTCCTAAAATGTCACAGAAAACAAAAAAGTGAGAAAATGATCCATGAAACTGGAGTTTTCAGCCAGGAAAGAGGCGGAGTTCCCCGAGGACAACAAAGGGAGTCGTAGGCTGGCTGCTACGCTGCAGTCTCGGGCACCATTGGCCCAGACTGCACGGTGCTGGAGGTGGCGGTGGCGGAATATGCTGAGC